TTTAAATTTTTCTTGTATATTTAAGCTTGGATTTCTATTTATTTTCTTGTATGTGTTAGTATCCAATAAGATCCTTTCTGCTTCTTGTACATAGCTGTCGGTTTTAATACCACAACTCCTCCACCTTTATCTGCTGGCTTAATAGTGACATTTTTATCCTTTCTTAAATTATTAATAGCTTTAAATTCTATCGAGGTTAAATTTTTTTGAAATGTATTTAATTTTTTAATCTTTTGTGCTTCCCTTATTAGCATTTTCTCAAAAGTTTTCATTTCATCAGAAATCATAAATTTAGGGAAAAATTGGGATTTTGGTTTTAATTCTGTTTGTAAAAATTCTGATTCTCTTTCAGCAGTATTATATGGTTTTTTATTAAAAAAAAATTTTTTTTTAAAGATAGTTGTCTAATAAATTTATTAATATCAATAAAAAAATTAAATTCATTAAAATCCGAGGTAGGGGCAAACTTTAAACCCTTCTTTAAAATATTAGTTTGTTCTTCCTTTAATGGAGATCCTGTTAAATTAAAAATCCCTTCCATGTTTAGTTCCTCCCCCTCTTCTCTCTGCCCTGTAGTTCTTCTTCTTCTTCTTCTATTTCTCCTTCTTCCGATAGCCTCGATCGTTTCCCTGGTGATTCTCCTATCTGCTGGAACCGTTTCCAGTGATGTTGGATTGGGTCCTGTCGAAAAAATGTATCTTGGCCTTGGTTTTCTAGGCTTTCAAATCTATTTGTCAAATGGATTTCATTGGTGTTGGTTAAATGTGGATATTTCTTTTCTGTTCTAGATATCTGTTTATATTCTGTCTGTTGATAGTTTTTTCTTGGGTATCTAACTGCCTCACTATAAGTTCTATTATGATTTTGATTGTCTCTTTTTGGTCTCTCTTCTCTAAAATCTCTTGGTCTGTATCTAGACGAGAAGAACATCTACAAAATATTGATACTGACATTGAAAAATGGAAGGATAAGTTAAGTAACACCACTAGTCCAGAAGTTTTTAATACAACTATTAAAGAAATTACTAAAAGAGTAGAAAAAATAGAAAAAGATGTTATAGAGATTAAGAAAAAGAAATATCTAAGAGATACAAACGACTACAAATTAGGAAATGTAAGGAGAAATAATAAAGACAATAAGGCCCAAAGACCACCTTTTAAACAACCTAATTATAGTAAAGAAAGACAAAGAAACAGTTTTTATGAATCCCAACAAATCTCTAGAAACAATAAATATGGCAGACAAATAGAAACAAACAGACCAAGAGATTTTAGAGAAGAGAGACCAAAAAGAGACAATAAAAATCATAATAGAACTTATAGTGAGGCAGTTAGATACCCAAGAAAAAAACTATCAACAGACAGAATACAAACAGATATCTAGAACAGAAAAGAAATATCCACATTTAACCAACCCCAATGAAATCCATTTGACAAATAGATTTGAAAGCCTAGAAAACCAAGGCCAAGATACATTTTTTCGACAGGACCCAATCCAACATCACCGGAAACGGTTCCAGCAGATAGGAGAATCACCAGGGAAACGATCGAGGCTATCGGAAGAAGGAGAAATAGAAGAAAAACTTTCATATTGCCCAATTGGATATAAAATAATATAACAATATTTTTCACTTATTCTATAGATTTTTATGTTATCAGTATTAATAAATATAAAGTTTTTTTTTACCTTTAAATCATCTGGATCCCCTGCAGTTTATTATTGGGAGCAAGCTTCCATTGGATATACAGACCACCCATAGAGGGATTTGGATCACCCTGGAAAGATCCTGAGGCCACTAATACCAGAGCCAGGTTCTATATTGGCTCTGATTTTGTGAGTGTTTACTTACACATGTTATCCTCTGTATTGATATTTTAAAGTTATCTGCACTATTTTGTATACCTCTATGTCTCCACAGCATTATTGAATCAATTGAGAAGAGAGGAAATATAACATTTGCTCCATCCATTGTGTTTGTACTGAATATACTAAACACCAATAGTCATTGAAGTAATAGATGAGGGGTGACAGAGAAAGTAGAAAAAAAGTCTGAATAATCAATTTTAAAGCAGTGAAATCCAAAAGAATAAGGTAGAACAAAATACTCTGACCTGTGCACTAGCTGGAACAGTAAAGAAAGAGGAAAGGTGTGGTCTTACAGGGCCTTTTGTGTAACATCCTCCTTTTTTCTGATTGGCTGTTTATGTTTCTGAGCTGCTGGAGATTTTCAGTAAGGAGAAATATGCAAATATTCACCTCCTGTCATTACTAAAATTAAGATTATAGGTACACTAGGTTAGCATAATCTACAATTGTAATTCATGTGTGTGTGTACCTTGGTCTCTATATATAGGAGATTGTGCAAATATGTGTGTGTTAGTGTGCATATCTGTGTGTCTGTGTTCCTGTTTGATTCTGAGTGTGTGTTAGTGTGTATATCTGTGTGTCTGTGTTCCTTTGATTCTGAGTGTGTGTGCATATGTGTGTGGCAATGTATATATCGCAGCATTCCAGCACTGCACACAAATACACCCCTGCATTCCAACACTAACACTGCACACAAATACACCCTTGCATTCAAACGCTAACACTGCACACAATGCTTACAAATATACATGCATTAGGCTGTGTGGAGGAGACGGGGATATGAATCAAGTCATATACCTGCGCCCTGTATTCCTCACAGGACGGCTGTCGCAGTGACGCCTTAGTGATGAGGCCGGGCTGAAAGAGGCGGCAAACCCAGGGACCGCTCCGAGCGTCAATAGCTCTAGCCACTGTTTACAGTTCGGGTCATTTTTTATTTTTTTTAAGCAGTTTTCAAGTTCACAGTGGACATTCTGTATCACATGTTATGCAGAGTATGTACATTTACAAAAAAGAAATGAATTGGTTATGCATTGATATACATATACAATATAGTGTAACACTCTGAATGGTTTTTGTTTTTCAACCTAGGGTGGGAGGGGGAAGGGGTGACGGGTTAAGAGAGCTGAGCTTGCCTTATTTGCGTCATGTTCCAATGGGGTGCCTTATCAGGGTTATTGAGGGGCACTTATGGACATCCCATTTAATAGAGTGTGACCTTGGACACAAGGGTTACCACATAACATACATTTTGAATAGCATGTACAGTTTCGGTTTTACTCATTATTAGCTCGGCTGTTGAGACATTTTCCTCAGGTGAAGGCGGGGGGGCTGCGGCCTCGGAAGACCTCCCACACCTGCCAAGCCCTGCTCCAAAAGGTTGCCTTGGTGGAGAGGGATGTTCTGCACGAGGATTCATAGAATCGGGTCGTGTCAATGAGCTGTACGCACTGCGGCATGGTCCGCGCCTCCAGCTTTTTCCACAATTTGCTTATTAGAGCTAGGGACGCAATGTTAATCTGGTAGATTAGATATCTTGTTGCTTTGGGTAATTTGGGTATTTATGAAGTAAGAGACAGTCTGGTGTTTTAGGTAGGGTAGTGCCTGTGCTATCTTGGATCAGCGTAATTATCGCCGCCCAGTATGGTATGATTATCGGGCACGTCCACCAGATATGGATCGTGGAGCCCGTTCCAGACGTGCACCGCCAGCATCTACCTGAGGCTTCAGGATATATTCGCTTAAGGCGTGTAGGCACTAGGTACCACCTGTATAAAAAATTTCTTGATAATTCCGTGTGGTGTGCGCTAAGTGTGAGTTGTTAGGGAGTAAGAACGATCTCCCGCCATGTTTTGTCCAGTATGGGCAGCCCAAAGTCTTTCTCCCATGCCACTACAAAGGGGGTACCTAAGGGTGAGGTACAGTTCGGGTATTTTGAACTTAACTTTGAAATTCAATTTGAATTCACTTTAAATATTCGCTTCAATGCATAATTCTGTGTGAGAATGGTTCAAGTTTGGCTATTGAAATTTAAGTTTCCATTTTATGACCGAAACATTGTCCTGTGTGCTGCCATGTTCCATTAAAGGGACACTATAATCACCTGAACAACTTTAGCTTAACGAAGCAGTTTTGGTGTATAGAACATGCCCCTGCAACCTCACTGCTCAATCCTCTGCCATTTAGGAGTTAAATCCCTTTGTTTATGAACCCTAGTCACACCTCCCTGCCTGTGAGTTGCACAGCCTTCCATAAACACTTCCTGTAAAGAGAGCCCTATTTAGGCTTTCTTTATTGCAAGTTCTGTTTAATTAAGATTGTCTTATCCCCTGCCATGTTAATAGCTTGCTAGACCCTGCAAGAGCCTCCTGTATCTGATTAAAGTTCAATTTAGAGATTGAGATACAATTATTTAAGGTAAATTACATCTGTTTGAAAGTGAAACCAGTTTTTTTTTCATGCAGGCTCTGTCAATCATAGCCAGGGGAGGTGTGGCTAGGGCTGCATAAACAGAAACAAAGTGATTTAACTCCTAAATGACAGTGAATTGATCAGTGAAATTGCAGGGGAATGATCTATACACTAAAACTGCTTTATTTAGCTAAAGTAATTTAGGTGACTATAGTGTTCCTTTAAATGAAAGCAGACTGCCTGGACAGCTTTACTACTAATGACAGAGCTGCCATTAGGTTGCTATGGTAACTTTTTTGCCTCCCTCTTGCATGTCTCTATAGCTGGGATACAGGGAGGTCAGAGCTCCCAGTAATTAGCATGGCGACTCTGACCAACCCCCAGCTCAGCTCACAACATGGAGGCCAAGCTCTCCGCTCACACTGTGACATGTCTGACACGCCCCGCTTCTTATACTGACAAACCACGCCCCTCCACAGCGTACACTTTAATAGGCCTACTAGTCCCCGCCCACTCAGCGGCTCTTACTGTACAAGCCTCGCCCACTCCTCACTTCACGCTCTAAAAAGCCCCTCCCTTCGCCACTTGTCTAGCGCAGACCTCGCCCCCACACTGTAAGAGGCCACGCCCCCGCTGCGGCATATAGTCTAATGAGGTCTCGCAGGCCCCGCCCACCCCCGCGGCCCACTGTGTGACAGGCCTGCACAGCCCCGCCCCCTCCGCCCGCCCGCCGCTGCTCGCCCTGGCGCTGACCTCGCCACCCCGCTGCATTGTGGGATGGCAGAGCGGAGGCGGCGGCGGGGGATCTGATGGCGGCGGCGGCGGCGGCGGTGGCCGCTCAGCAGCAGCTCCATTGGAGGCGCGTGTCCTCCTCCACCGGCCCGGTGCCCCGCTCCCGCCACGGACACCGCGCTGTGGCCATCAGGGAACTCATGATTATATTTGGGGGCGGGAACGAGGGCATCGCCGAGGAGCTGCACGTTTACAACACGGGTGAGAACCGGGAGAGAGGGCGGGGGCCATAGCTACACCCCATGGGCAGAGGGCTGCGAACTACATTTCCCATGAGTCTCACTCTCCGTTTAGATTGGCCGAGCATCATGGGAAATGTAGTTCACTGATATAAGGAGTGCCAAGGATAACTTCACTGCTATAGGATTTACCAAACACAGACATTGAGGGTAGACTAGCAGTCAGGCATAGGCAACATTCGGCACTCCAGATGTTTTGGACTACACCTCCCATGATGCTTTGCCAGCATTATGGGTGTAAGAGAATCATGGGGGATGTAGTCCACAATATCTGGAGTGCCGAATGTTGCCTACCCCTGGCACTAGCTGTAATGGAGTTGACATTTTTTTTTTTTTTTTTAACTAAATCGTTAACCTCCCCCCAATCACTCCTGTATTTATAATTATTTTCACATTATTTGGTGTTTTTGATTTTACTGTTCTGTGTGTCTTCACTGACAGATCAGACCAAAACTTGACTGTTCCCCTGTGTTTGTGTTTATCCATAAGGAATGAATAAATAATAAAATGCTTTTGCATACATCTAGTTTCCCACCGAAGTATTTTCTCAATAAGCCACTGCGTTAGTATTATTATTATTATTATTTATATAACGCCAGCGTATTCTGCAGCGCTTTATAATATTATAAAGGGGGGGGGGAGTTAACACTAGATGCATCATATACAAAATGGTTGATGAGGAGGACACTGCTCAAGACAGCTTACAATCTAGAGAGTATATGAAGAGTATACTGTGCACTATCTGTGTGTATTAAGGATGCAAGCTGCATGCAGTATGTCAATAACACATATCATGGCAGTATAGATGGAGATACGATATTGCTGAATTGCAATCCAAATAGCAACATTTAGATTATAATTGCTCAACGTTACAATACTAAGTTGTAGTTTTTGCTTAAAGGACCACTATAGGCTCCCAGACCAGCTGAAGTGGTCTGGGTGCCAGGTCCCTCTAGTTTTAACCCTGCAGCTGAAAACCACGGCTATGTTTGCACTGAGGGTTAATCCAGCCTCTAGTGGCTGTCTCACTGACAGCCGCTAGAGGCGCTTCCACGATTCTCTTTGAGTAGTGCTTTCCTATGGGCGGTTTGAATGCATGCGCGTTCGGTGCTGATGTCGGCAGGAGGAGAGGTCACCAGCGCCGGTGCTGGAGGAAGGTAAGTGGGCCCAGCAGGGGGAAGTGGGGGAACCTAAGGACTTCATAGTGCCAGGAAAACGAGTTTGTTTTCCTGGCACTATAGTGGTCCTTTAAATCTTGCCATCGAAATTTCAATTATTTCTACTGGTATTTTTAAAGTGCCACCTATTCCGCAGGGTTATGCACTTGGGTAAAACCAAACAGTGCAGTACATATAAATCCCTATTGTAAATAACTACATTTGTAAAGAGTTCAAAGTTGGGGTTCATTAGAGTCTATTTGTAACTAACCATAATTCTGAGACAAACTTCCACACTTATGCGCAAAATTTATCCGTTTCTAATTTTATCAAGAAGGCTCCTGCATGGCATTGCTTTTACCCTTCATTTTGGCCTCTCTAATTGGTTCCAAATGGTATAATCCAGTCCAGAACTTTTGTTGTAGCCCAATTAAGTTAGAAGCTATTAGAAAACAAAATTCTATTGACATCTGGAAACAGGTAATTTATATAAACTTTTCAGAAAATGGTTGAATAAAAAAAAAAATATTACATTGAAACAAACTTCAGTGTGAAAGTTGCTTACAATGCTGTCTATATTGTGAGAAGTTTAAAGGAACCACCTTTAAGGGTCCCTCCAGGTTATTATGGGGTCCAGGGTTCCCCACTGGATTCACTTTATTATCTAAGGATTTGCTCTTTGCCATCAAGGATCAAATTCTGAACATTTAAAGGGACACTCCAGGCACTTACACCACTTCTGCCCATTGGAGTGGTCTGGGTGCCAACTCCCATCACCCTTAACCCTTCAAGTGTAATTATTGCAGTTTTTATAAACTGCAATAATTACCTTGCAGGGTTAAGTCCTCCTCTAGTGGCTGTCTACCAGACAGCCACCAGAGGGACTTCCGGCTTCTTAAAACACGATGCACCTCCAGCGTCGCAGGAAACCCCATAGGAAAACATTGAATAATGCTGTCCTATGGGGGCGGTCTAATGTGCGTGAACATTGCTGCGCATGCGAATTAGGTCTCCCCCGTCGGCGGGGGAGGAGCGTGGGCGGGTCCTGATCCAGCACCGAGGGATATCGGCACTGGATTCAGGTAAGTGACCGAAGGGGTTTTAAGGCATTCAGCAACATGGAATGGGGCTTTCCTGGCACTGGAGAGTCTATTTAAGTATTTCACATGCACAATGCAAGCATATATATTCTGCAATTATGCCTCTTTCAGGAACGCAGAATATCTTGGTAAATAGTTTCCTGTACTTCGTATGGGATTGAATCTACATTCTGCTAGTTTTGTTGCTAACACCAGATTGTATATTCAAAGCTTGGACTTGTCACCAGTGGGGTACCTCAGGGATCTGTACTTGGACCCATTCTCTTTAATATTTTTATTAGTGATATTGCAGAAGGTCTTGATGGTAAGGTATGTCTTTTTGCTGATGATACTAAGATATGTAACAGGGTTGATGTTCCAGGAGGGATAAGCCAAATGACAAATGATTTAGGTAAACTAGAAAAATGGTCAGAATTGTGGCAACTGACATTTAATGTGGATAAGTGCAAGATAATGCATCTTGGACGTAAAAACCCAAGGGCAGAGTACAGAATATTTGATAGAGTTCTAACCTCAACATATGAGGAAAGGGATTTAGGGGTGATTATTTCTGATGACTTAAAGGTAGGCAGACAATGTAATAGAGCAGCAGGAAATGCTAGCAGAATGCTTGGTTGTATAGGGAGAGGTATTAGCAGTAGAAAGAGGGAAGTGCTCATGCCATTGTACAGAACACTGGTGAGACCTCACTTGGAGTATTGTACACAGTACTGGAGACCGTATCTTCAGAAGGATATTGATACCTTAGAGAGGGTTCAGAGAAGGGCTACTAAACTGGTTCATGGATTGCGGGATAAAACTTACCAGGAAAGGTTAAAGGATCTTAACATGTATAGCTTGGAGGAAAGACGAGACAGGGGGGATATGATAGAAACATTTAAATATATAAAGGGAATCAACACAGTAAAGGAGGAGACTATATTTAAAAGAAGAAAAACTACCACAACAAGAGGACATAGTCTTAAATTAGAGGGACAAAGGTTTAAAAATAATATCAGGAAGTATTACTTTACTGAGAGGGTAGTGGATGCATGGAATAGCCTTCCAGCTGAAGTGGTAGAGGTTAACACAGTAAAGGAGTTTAAGCATGCATGGGATAGGCATAAGGCTATCCTAACTATAAGATAAGGCTAGGGACTAATGAAAGTTTTTAGAAAATTGGGCAGACTAGATGGGCCGAATGGTTCTTATCTGCCGTCACATTCTATGTTTCTATGTTTCTATGTTTCTATGTGTTGAATCCGATATGTAACGGCAGGGTGATTAACAGATGTAGTGATTTCCATAATATTTTGCCAGTCAGGACTGGTTTTAGTCTGTTTTTGACCTGGCACCCAGACCACTTCATTAAGCTGAAGTGGTCTGGATGCCTAGAGTGGTCCTTTAACTATTTAGAAAATAGATGAGTTGAATAAAACATGGTGACTAAAACCTAGAAAGCAGGCTTCTGATTTTGTACTATTTCCTTAGTTTCTAATTAATTTTTTAAACAAAAGTATTTTTGTTTGTCTACATGGAGCTATGTCACGTGAGTCAGTGTTTACACTAATCCAGTAATAAGATGCACACTACACTTTATGCTGCATCGTACTTGAATGTTTGTTTACGTATGTTTTAGTGTTTTATAGGCAACCTACGAGGAGAACTCCCTGCTGCTTATTGATATATATTTATTTGTAGATGTCAGATAAAATGTACATGTAACCTTTCATCTATGCATATGCCAGCATAATATATCTCGGTAGTGATAACAGGTAAAATTTCACACGTTGGTAGATTAAGCATGTTTTCCTTATGAAAACCAATTCAGATTTTAGCTGGTTGCAGTCCTTGCTATATTGTCTATAAATAATCAATGGTGTACTTTACTTCTGTTTTAGTGACAAACCAGTGGTTTTTGCCAGCTGTAAGAGGTGATATTCCCCCGGGTAGTGCTGCTCATGGATTTGTTTGTGATGGAACCAGAATCTTGGTGTTTGGAGGAATGGTGGAATATGGAAGATACAGCAATGAACTGTATGAATTACAGGTACAGTTTGTTAAATAACCATATACCCTGACTGGTGTATTTACCTGATCGTCAATATTCGTTCTTGCGATGTTATGCTTGTCTATATCAATGTCGAGGCTCTTTATGGGTTGTTTCAAAGTTTGTCTGCCGCATATAGTTTAAAGGGACAAGGCAAGTACAATTACTAACGATGTTCCTTGCATAGATTCTGGTTCTGTCGCTGCACCTATACACTTGGCACCCTGCTCTGTTACTGGCTGTAAGCATTCTAACTAGATTTCCATGAGAGAATCTGTGCTGTGGCTGCAAAAAGCTTTATTTTTGGAAAATCGTAAATGAAGTTAGTTGCTTGAGGTTTCATTTTTTTTTTAAGCTTGCAGAGATGTTTCATTAAAGTACTGATGATTCTGAACTACTTATCCTCTAACACAGGCTTCCCCAAACTCCTCCAGATGTTGCTGAACTATAACTCCCATGATTCTCAGCCCATCTATTTCATTCATAGAATCATGGGAGGTGTAGTTCAGCAACATCTGGAGGATCGGAGTTTGGGGAAGCCTGCTCTAACATTTAACAGGGCAGAAGAATAATGTTAAAGGAACACTCCAAGCATCAAAACCAGTGCAACATACTGTAGCAGTTATGGTGTGCCCCCCAATGTAAGTCGTCAAACTGCCGCACGTTCTCTACATAAACTAAACCGTATGGAGCAGGGCTTAGCTCATAAGCTTTTGGCTCTACCAGAAGAGGAGAGGCCAGGAATAGCACCCGCTGGGCTCTAGGTAAGAGATCAAATCTGTAGCAGATCGTTTGACAACTACACTCTAGTGGTTATGGTGTTTGGAGTGTTCCTTTAATGGAAGGGTAATTAAGTTTGCCAATTAGGCTAATGCACAGTTATTTGAGAATGACAGATTGACTTTAGGTTGAATTGTTTCTTTTTTAGGCAAGCCGCTGGCTCTGGAAAAAGCTAAAGCCTCAGGCTCCATCCAATGGATCCCCACCCTGTCCTCGGCTCGGTCACAGCCTTTCTCTCCACGGCAATAAATGTTACTTGTTTGGTGGTCTTGCTAATGAAAGTGAAGATACCAACAATAATATTCCCAGGTAATATTACTGTGTGTAGAAGAGCAGTGACCAGTGCAACAGTAGCTATTCTGGAGCAAAGTGCTAAATGCATAGCAGTCACCAAGGAAACCAGTTGAAAGATGTCTGCTTGCTCCACATTGAGTTACTTTGCTTAGAATTGCTCTTTTCACATATCACATGTGAGGAGAGGGAGAGCTCTGAGCACCACTTACTTGTAGGTAGCAAAAAAAAGAAATTAAACCAGAACATTACAAATTCATTCTGACAATGTATTTGAGTAAATCCTTATTATTGCCAGCTAATACAATGCATAGATGAAAATACAGTTACTTTAGGAACAGCCTAGTCATATTTAGCCTTAATCAAGAAATGTATTCTTGTCATCTTCCGTCTTGGTCAGAGGTTCTCTTCTAAAAACACAATGCTTAAAAAATGCTGATGGCGGACCCCTCCAAGACTACGTAAAACAAGGGGATTTAAAAAATTTACGGCATTAAATTTATTAACAGTTCGTTGCCTTCTTCCTTTGGACCTTTTCATATAATCTTATTAGAGTACTAAACTTTCCACAGGTAGTTCAAACACAGGGCCAATTCCACCAACTGTATCTTCTGCTTACACTTTCAAAATCAGTAGCAGGCAGACTTATCTAGTGCAAACACACACACAATAAAATGTTGTAGACTAGCAACTCTGCGCTGCAGGTCCCGCGGAAGCTAAACATTAACATATAGCAGTGCTATAATAAGAAAGGAGAATGTATGATGCTAACATAGTCACATATGCTTAATATGCACAAAGTAAATAGTATGTATAAAGAGAAATGGGAAAACTGGGCTCTAAATCTGGAGCAAGCTGAACAAGCAATCCTCAGTTTCCATGGTGACTGATATGCTTTTAGAAACTGCCCACAATTACGGTTTACACTCTACAGTTTGATACTTGGAAATAAGACACTACTTTCAGCTGCCATTAGATGTAAATCAGGATAATTATTAATTCTCAGAAGCTAGTTATGATTCTCGTGCAAGTGTGGACACGTCACTGTTTAAGGATGTTTCTCTAATACTGGCAATAACCACTGAAAAATTACAAACTAGTGGTATTTAACCTATTTTTCGGTAAGCTGTTCCTCAAGCTGATATCTAGTCCTGTGGGCATCGTTACCCTATTATAAAAATTACAGCAGATGAGGTTTCCAATGAGATGATCCAGTAGAACTAGCAAAAACATGATTGGTTAGTTGGGCAACAATGAGTGAACAGGGCCACCAGCTCTATGTGATGGATAAGAGTTTCAGCAGATTAACATTTGACATACCTATTTTTGCAAAACTGTCAGTGTAAGCTTGTATGCCTAACTATGCACTTCAAAAATAAAGAATGTAAAAACAAAAAGCGTGTCAGCAGGTGAGATTAAAAATATGCACTTGTCAGGAGCTCTTATTTAATTTGTAATTTATGGAGGTTGTTGGTTTAGTGTAGCTTTAAATATTGGTGTTCAAACTATTGTGGCAATTTAAAATCTGTTTTCTTTAATATTCCAGGTACCTTAATGATTTTTACGAGCTCGAGTTATGTCCAGGAACTGGGGTTGTTGGTTGGAATCTTCCACTGATGAAGGGGACACTGCCATCTCCGAGAGAGTCCCATTCTGCAGTCGTGTATAGCAGAAAAGATACAAGGAAACCAAAACTCTATATCTTTGGAGGAATGTCTGGGAGTCGATTAGATGACCTTTGGGAGCTTGACATCGGTAACATTTTCCTTTTTAATTTAATATAAAAACTATTTCTTAAACCTGCAGCCTCAAATATGTTTAAATAAAGAAAGAGAGAGAAGAGGTTTGTCCACTAAACCTAGAATTGTAAAATATCAACAATTTCAGTTTTGAGCCCTGATAGCAGAAATGATCACTTGCTGACATTGCCACTTGGTGTGCGGTGGCAGAGGGGTGCATTCCCTTGAGATATACTTACCTGATGGGCGTCACAATCTTATTTCTTCCAGTCCTGGTGCTTCTGCCAGGAGCTTATGTCAGTGCTGCACTCACACTCAAGCACAAATAAGAATAGACTATAGTGGGATGATATAAAAACTCCCCTATTTTTTTGCGAATCATGCAGTGCAATAGTGTGCATCTTAGTTTTCATCTGTATACAGGGTTTTTCATACATATCTTCATATTTAACATTTAATAGGTTACTCTTTTATCCAACCATTATTGCTCCAATTATAACTGCTCCGGAACCTTCAACCATTTACACTAGTGGTTTTAAGTCATTTTGGTTACACATATATAGTAAACTGTGAATCTGCAGTGAAAAAGCAGTTCCATTCATATTAAGTTTGTGTGGATAAACTAGTTATCCCGCTAATACCTGCTATGTTGTGAGTTTCTTTCTGATGCAGCAGAATCTGAGTGTAGCTGCAATTTTTTTAATGCATTGTCTCTATAATGCATTAAAATAGGGAGTTATTTTACCATGTAATTTCCTTTAAAAGAAACATCTAATGAAGTACAACTCTTTTTTATAAATTTGGTGAATCTAATGAAGTCATGTACATTGTGATTGAAGTAAATTCATAACTTACTAAGGAACTTTGACTGATTCCCAAGTCATGTCCTGAAACTGAATTTTGATGACCACAGCTGGGATCCTGGTGAAGTATCCTGTTAGCTTTCTGATGCAAACTGCACGGCTCATGCTGCCTTAGAAAATAAACTCCATCTTAATGGCTTATATTCCCTCTTATTTAAAGTTAGATTGTTTCCAACTGAAGAGACTGTTCCTGAAATTGTTCCATCTCTTTAGTGGGTGCTTGTGACTGGTTCACAATCCTGACTGTAAATTAAAAAACAAAAACACATGCTACTTTCCATGAAGTAGAATTTCTTAACCCCCGTTCTTATCAAAACAAAATGTAAACAAAACTTGGAATTTGCGCTATATATCTGTTCAACCGTAATTCACCTCTTTCATATTAAGTGCACCCACACTTATTATATATAATTTTATTCAGGAGAAACAGGGCTTTAATTTCACATGAACTATTCATATATGAAACATAATTTATTATGAATAAAATAAATTGTGAGAAATTATTTTTTTTAATTTGTAGTTCCGCCTCACATTCTGGCTGTAAATGTCATAATACTGTTAGCTTTTACTGCAAAAAGAGCACATATTTGGATTCAGCAAAGTCTCACAAGTACTACAGTAGCCCCCATTAACAGTTTTTACGGTGTTTGGAAAGTTACAGGGTTAAATATAGCACATTGCATTTTTCAGGTTTTTCACATTGAAATTTGCTAGATTAGTAATGTTACCTTTGAGAGCGTATGGTAGCCCAGGAATGAGATTTACCCCCATGATGGCATACCATTTGCAAAAGTAGACTACCCAAGGTATTGCAAGTGGGGTATGTCCAGTCTTTTGTAGTAGAAACTTAATCTCAAATACTGGCAATAGTTAGCGTTCATATTTGTTTTTGTGTGAAAAAAGCAAAAAACAAATATTTGGCCAGTGTTTGTGACTAAGTGGCTACTAAAAATGACTGGACATATACCCCATTTGCAATACCTTGGGTTGTCTACTTTTGCAAATGGTATGCCATCATGGGGGTAAATCTCATTACTGGGCTACTATATGGTCTCAAAAAGCAACATCGCCAATCTGGCAAATTTCAATGTGAAAAAAATGAAATGCAAGCCTTATATTTGACTCTCTAACTTTCCAGATCATCATAAAAACTTTACATGGGGGTACTGTTATACTTGAGAGACTTCACTGAACACAAAAATAAGTGTTTTAAAACAGTAAAATATCTTACAACAATAATATAGTCAATAAAAGTTTTGTTCGTGTGTGAAAAATGCAAAAAAGTCACTTTTACTAAAAATATCATTGTTGTAATAAAAGTTGCCATTTTGAAACACTAATGTTTGTGTTCAGCGAAGTCTCCTGAGTAAAACAGTACCCCCCATGTACAGGTTTTATGGTGTCTTGGAAAGTAACAGGGTTAAATAGAGTGCTTGCAATTCAAATTCTCTGCACTTTCTGCCTGGGTTGTAGGACATGTCAATCAAATTTTAATTAATTGAGTCACGTTCTATGCCGCGGCAACGGCTTTAAAGACCATTATGATGGGGACGGAATAGTACGCCGTAACCGCGTTAAGGGGTAAAACAAATTTTGAGAGTTACATGTTTCTCACTGGATTAATTATTTCTTTTTTAAATTAAATTTTTTTTTTTTTTCATGTGTTTTTAGAGACAATGACATGGACAAGTTCAGAAGTTAAAGGTCCAGTACCTTTGCCTCGAAGTCTTCACACAGCCAATGTTATAGGAAATAAGTATGTATTGTTATTGATAAGTGTACTTAAAGGAACACTCCAAGCACCGTGACAGTACTAGGAGTTCCCTGGAGCTCCCCAGAGTATGTAGGCAAACCATATAAGAAGAGTTTGACAACTTACCTGGAGTCTTTCAGACACCCGCTACTGCTGCTGACAGAAGGGGAACTGACAAAAAGGAGCTTCTATCTGCAGAGGAGGCGGCGGGACCCTGGTAGGTTGTCAAGCCGTTCTTAAAATTATTTGATTAGCTACTCTGTGTGCCAAGGCAATCCCGGCACTATACCCACCAGAGCTGGCTGCAATGGTTATGGTGCTTGAAGTGTTAATTTAAAGATAATTTTAGTCTACTATATTTTCCTGCGTAAACCAAAGGAGGCACTCTTTCCCAAATCCCTATGTATATTTAAACAAATGGAGGTTAGTTACTCCACTGGCCATTAGAGGGAATGCCTACCTGCCACGTCAAGGCTAACCTCTTAGGTGGGTCTTACACTAACCTTAGTCATAAGACTAACCTTAGTTAGTGTAGGACCCACCTAAGAGGTTTGCCTTGACGTGGCAGGTAGGCATTCCCTCTAATGGCCAGTGGAGTAACTAACCTCCATTTGTTTAAATATACATAGGGATTTGGGAAAGAGTGCAAGTAACTTTTTTTGGGGGGGGTTTTTACTGTATGTATTGGGGCTGTTGTGTACTATGGTCGTTGCTGCTGCCCAAGAGTTGTGGGAGTTTGAGCGCAGGACTTGTTTTTGTATTTATATTTTACTGTGTGCTGTGGTTATTTTATGCTCTGCACTGAAATTCTTATTGCTTTTTTTTTTAATCTGTAATTTCTTGCCTTATTCCTTTCATAATGTACAGCCTAGCACTGTAATGTTCAGTTTATCTAGACATGTGTATTGTGTTTTTAAACAATTGATAGGGCTCTCTCTCTCTTGTGTAAATATATGTATGTGTTTCTATATCTATCTATAGTATAGTGTGAATTGAGAGATTGCCTTTAATAATTTATACCAAACAGTAAAGATAATACAAATATAACAAAATATATGTCTAGTGATTTTGAACTGGTCCTGAAAGACTTATGTGGGTTTTTTTTTTTTTTTTTCGAAGGAGATTGGGGTATAGGGTGGTGCTGCATTCACCTCTGTCACTCATGATCACTAGTTGTTACTTTCAGACTTGGGCATTTACTTTTTTTTTCTGTTTGTTAACAAAGTTGACAGAAATATCATAAGTAATATAATGTTAGTGATTGGTGTTTTTTTCAGAATGTATGTGTTTGGTGGCTGGACTCCACACACCATACAGAGTGACCTCTCACCTCAAGAAAGCCAGTGGAAATGCACAAACTCCTTTTCATACCTTGATTTAGGTTAGTGATTAAACCTTTCCTTCTTACTTTAGTCCTATATTGTAAATCATGGCTTGGCAACACTTGGAAATCCAGATGTTGTGAACATCTGGAGTTCAAAAATGCTGCCTACCACTGTTGTAGATCATCATGACATTTATATTTCAAGATAATTGGAAGTGTAAGTCTTCCTCAACTCTAAGTCCGGTCTAAATCTCACTAATGGAAGATGATCTGTCAAGGAAACTATTTATTGTACAAGTAAGTACATGCTTAGCAATACTGAAAGAGGAGTATCAACTTAATAATCAGATGACTTCTACTATTTACATCAGGGGTAGTCAACCTGATCCCTAACGCACATTAGTGTGCTGTTTGGGATTTCAGATGAGCGATGGTGGTTTCTGCAAAAAACGTCCAGTGGGCCTCAATAGCCGTGAACCATGGCCGGCAGGGGAGATCCTAGCTGTAAGCCCTCTCGGCGCGTGGGCGCTTGACGCACCCTTTGCGGGCGCTTGACACACCCTTCGCGCACGCGGGAGCTGCACCCTTCACTCACAGACTCACACATAGAAAAAAAATTTTTTTTTTAATTTGTTAAAAACCTCCTGCTAAAAATAAAAATTTCAAAATTACACTTGCGCTATTAAATTACTTACTGCAGCACTGGTTGGTGGGCGGTAAGGAAATTTTACCACCAACAAAGATACAAAAGTGGGCGGTAGGTATTAAAAAGTTGACCACCCCTGATTTACATAGGTTTTTTTTGGTCTTTTTCAAGTGTAATTGTAACCAGAATTTTTCTTTACATAGACTAGGTTCAAACGATATAGATATATAGAATAAATCACTTAGCTGAGTAGATTAGCTTTAAACACTCAACTTGTATTGGCCTACTTTTAACTAACAAATGGGCAAAGTGTCATTCTAAATTGTTTTTTACAACTCCGACAAAAGGAAACCTTTGGGTTCTAAACTTACTCCATGCAAATCATAATGAGATCCCTTCATTATGAAAATGAACAGTTCCTTTTCTAGCAGTAGTTGGACCTAATACTTATTTGTGACGATTGCAATATCAAATATCTGTATTTTGAGATACTTTCCATAGTTTGCAAGCTGGATCAGCAAGCCTTGTAATTCAGTTTTACATTTTCATTGTTCTGTTATTTCAGTATATATTGAATAACTTTCATGGCACATGCTTCATACATTGTATGCTTTTCAATTCAACAGACACGCATGAGTGGACTACATTATCGCCAGATTATGCTGAAGACAAGAAGAACTGGCCAAGACCTAGAGCTGGACATTGTGCTGTGACAATTGGAAAACGCCTCTACATCTGGAGTGGAAGGGATGGGTATAAGAAGGCTTGGAATTATCAAGTTTGCTGTAAAGATCTGTGGTATATCGACACAGGTAGGTGGAGACATTTACCTTCCTCCTCCTCTTTCTTCATGTCTCTATAATTTTGTAAAATGTAGTGATTATTTTTTTTCCTGTCCTTTTTACTTTACTTTACTTCCATGGTTGAGTGTTAGGTAATCCGTTTTTTCTTTGATATTTAATTAACTATTTGTAAAACTTGTAAATCGAACAATTGGCAAATAGCATATATTTTCTATCCCTGGGCTACATGATACTGTCGTACATATGATGAAGCAGTCAGTGGGGATGTGGCGGTAGAGTGATTTCCCCCCCCCCCCTTCTCTTTAAATGTAAATATTTTAGACATATGACATATGCAATGTAATTTAGTAAATTGGAGTAATGTGATACACAGTGTGGAGTAAACAAAGTTCCGCTGTACACAAAATCCTGGTATGGCTCAAATTGTTAGATATTAGACTTGTGGTTTTAAGCAAAACACTTATACAAGAAATCTGAATGTAAAGCTGTTTCGGTGTTATCTCTTTTCAGAGAAGCCTCCAACTCCTTCTCAAGTTCAGCTGGTCCGTGCCACCACAAACTCGTTTCATGTTAAATGGAATGAGATTCCAACAGTTGAAGGATACCTTTTGCAGTTAAATCCCGAGGCTGCGACTTTAGCTGCTACAGGAACGCCTGCTCCCATTAGTGAAATATCTGCACTTCGCTCTCAAGGCAGCATATCGCCTGCTGAACATCCTTCCCCATTACATGTGCTTCAAGGTAATCTGTGATGACTGATAGCCCTCCTCCTTTTTAAATTTTTTATGTAATAGTGGATTTATTGCATGTAGAATTTCCATTTGAATAGATTGGAAAAACGAGAGGGTACTTTTTGAAGTAGTTAAAATGAAGGAGATGTGGGATTTACTTGATATAACTTCATCGGTGAAGGCGTCTTGGGCGGTTATGTAATGTAAACTTGTTCCGAACGCACCCTACTTCAAGAGTGTGCGTGATGTAGTTGTGGTGGTGAAAGGGTTAAAGTTCACGATTTGTCTGCACTAGACCGGAAATAATGATAAAATCCCACTCAACACCACCCACACTTAAGCATAATATTATAAATATTACTGTTTTAATGCTGCCACCACCAAGGCAATTTATAAATGAGGTGCCTTGGTCCCCTAGGTAACTTAATAATACAACCAAATACAACTTAGCACAATATTTAAGCAATTGCAAAACACTAAGTCTCTTCAGGTAACGTGATTCTTTACCAAAGGCAGAACTTAATAAAGGAATATTTATTATGAGCAAAACAATGTCACAGTGCATACAAAAATATAGATGACAATCAAATTAGTTACACCAACAACAGATAAAACCAAAAGTGATAAAATAACAGAAGTCCTAATCACTTACTCAGGTTTCAAAGTAAAACTTCTGCCCAGGGGATCACTGGGAAGGTAAATGGTGACTCACTCACAATTAGATTCTGGCCCCCAAGCAAGTCCAATACACACTTCAGTATCATTAGATATAGTATCATTAGATATATACCCTGTGGATTACTAATCCTCGCCCATAGATGAAGATAAGGCGTACATATATTAACTGCAAGTGACAACCCCCTTGTGTTCCAGACCAACATCAATCCAAATGGAAACATTTGGTTCTATCTCCTCTTATGTACTTGCCACAGAAATGATAATTGCATCTATTAATTTACCATTTTTCCATTCCATAGATATGTTACACTCCTTACTCGTGACCCAATATAGCGGACATCACAATCCCTTCCCTTATGTTTAAGTTACGCAAATCATGTTTGGGCTTGATTAGAAGATTGTGCTTGTTCCATTTAAAGATAATAAAAAGTAGGCTTGATTATTAATCTGTGGGTAAGTATTAATGTTTCTTTTGGATATGATACTGGAACACAAGGCTAATGGTCATTAACATATCAAAGGGCTCCCTATCTAAGACGGAATCCAGACATATAGCAAATTAGAAAGTCAGTTTATATTTAAACCAGACTTCCAGGCCACTTATTTGTGACTTCTCACACCTTGCAGTACCTTTGATTAATCAAAGGATCAATTAATTATGCAATCTTGGCGTGACAAAACTATGTTCAGGACTTTGTATAACATAAAGTTTAAATAATATAATACAGATCTGAGCACTTGGTATAAATTATTTGAATAAATGATTTATTTAGACTCCAAAAAAAAAAATAAAAAAAAAAAATATATATATATATATTTATATTTATATATATATATATATATTTATATTTAAGGATTGTACATTTACTAAATTCCATTTGGGTAAGCAATAGATAACTTCCCATATTTCCAGTTAGAGTGTCTGCATATTTTAATAATTATAACAGTGAATGTGTATGCAGCTCATGTTATTTTTGTGTTTGTTCACCAGGCAATGACAGTCATGTTTTTCCTGGACTCGGAGTGGATATTTGTGACCAAAATAGCCAGAACAACCTAGCTGCTCCGGTAAGAAAATATGCACTGTCTTATTTTGAATGCTGCATCTGTACATGAAATAATAGCCAGAATCTGTCAGGAAGTCACCCCTACAGCTGACTTTCAGTTTTGATAAGCACAGTTTCTGGTACTTTTTTTTTTTTTTAGATCTGATGAAGAGCCCGGGGTTATATCTGTACTGTATTTTGTGTCACGGCAAAAGCCACATGAAAATAGGTCACAGGAGTAAGATTGTGGTGACCGTTTGTGTCAGACATAGTTAGAAATGAGAGCTGGGTAGGATTGAATGTAATGTTTACGTGTAAATATCTAATTGTCATCGAGAAAATATTTGGGAAAGATTTATTTTAAAAAAAGACACTGCAGTATAAAGATATTGTCTGATTCTCTTGATTAACTGAACATCAGGATTACACATGCAAAGGCCGATTTTTATTCATACTCTACCATGGAGGCATTAATAGTCGTGCTAAATAGACGTGAGCAGCATGTAACATTGTGACATCTATTCAATTGGCTTTACATCAGCCGAATGCCCTTTGGTTGTCAAATATTCAGTTGCTCCAACTAAATGTAACCCATTTGACTATTGACAAAAGGTAAATCTGGTTATTTTAAAGGGACACGCCAGTGCCAGGAAAACAAAGCGTTTTCCTGGCACTGCAGGTACCCTCTCCCTCCCACCACCCATCCCATGTTGCTGAAGGGGTGAAAACCCCTTCAGTCACTTACCCGAGTTCCCCGCCGATGTACCTCAGCGGTGGTTTCGGGTCTGCCCATGCTCCTCCCCTGCAGATGTCATCTGGCGGGGGAGACCGATCGCGCATGTGCAGTCGCCGGCAGGGGAGACTTATGGCGCATGCGCGGCAATGCTGCACGCGCATTAGATCTCTCCATAGGAAAGCATTGAAAATGCTTTCCTTTGGGGAATTGAGCGACGCTGGAGGTCCTCACACAGCGTGAGGACGTCCAGCGACGCTCTAGCACAGAAAACCTGTGCTAGAAACCAGGAAGTGCCCTCTAGTGGCTGTCTAGTAGTTTATGAAAACTGCAATATTTACAGCTGCAGGGTTAAGGGTAGTGGGAGTTGGTACACAGACCACTCCAATGGGCTGAAGTGTTCTGGGTGCCTGGAGTGTCCCTTTAATCAAATGCACTTTGTTTGGCTAACTGTTAAAATCGGCTTAATCTTTATATGAGTTTGCTAATTCAGCTATTCATAAACAGCCAGAATGCATCCTGACCAATTAATGTGGTCCACTTTCTCAGATGCCAACCCATTCCATCTCAATATGGAAAATTGGAAATATGGAAAAAATAACTTTAACCTTTTGGGGGGAGATTTATATAGGTACAAATAGATGCCATCCTGGGACAAAGTGCTAAATAAGCAACAGTCACCAAGGAAACCAGTGTCTCTCAGAATTTAGCACTTTGCATCCAAATTTGCACTTGTTTTCCCATGATAAATCTTCCTATGGTGTAAAAGTATGTTGAACAAAGCTGTTGTATCATTCCCGGAGTTGATATTTAATTCTTATTAACCTTAAGAAGGACACACAGCCCATCAACTAGTGGGTGTAAACGTGCCGGATGTGGCAGCTGTCACTGTCTAATTTTGTGTGTGTCCAATCTGGAGAATGACTTCATCACTTGAAGCTTTAAGTGAGTAGTAAAGATTGTATCCCCTTTCTGGCCAATTCTTTATTTAGTAAAAAAAAAAACCTGGTTTGTAATGCTATTTTATATATTGCTTACTTGTTTACATTTACTGATGTTTGTAAATAATCATCTGTTTGTTCATGTATTGTGCTGGCAGTTCTCTACATTTTTTAATAGGTTACCATACAGCAAGATTAGCTGTGTAATCACAAGAAGTGTGTTATCTTGTATGGTCTGTTTAATTATGAATGCCTGTGTAGAAAGTGTGCGAGTTCTTGTTTTATAAAATAAATCTATTCTATATCTATAATCTATCTTTGTATCCTCACGTTTTTATCCATAGTTGGTGTTCACCTCCAGTCTCCTCACTCAAGGTGCTCTTTTCTTCCTAATTTCAGTCGATCTTCTTTGTTTTGTTTTCCAGGACTCAAATGAGTCCCTTACTCCCCTTGCCAGATATGTCAATGGTCAGTACAGGACACCAGCCATTCTTTAAAGGCTCGTCTTTGCAGGAAGGTAACTCTCCTGGATTAAGTGTCTTCTCTGTAAACTCCATATGTCCCATCTTGGACTTGGGTTGAAGTAGTGCTTCACCTCAAACGGACATCATAGGCTGGTTCCTGTCAACTAAAGACTCTTCATTTTGGAAGATTGTTTCCCTACTCTATTGTTCACTATCCCAGGTTTAATTTACCTTGTGATCTCTCCCTTTCATTCACATGATGCTATAGAAAACTAAATTAATTTGAGTATTTCTTTTTGTTCGTTACCCCTTGACCCAATTAATGTTAACTTTCCTTGTTACCGTCTGATAGGCTTAAATGGAGGAGGTGTTTGGTTTTGAAGCTCTTTCCTTTCCTGACAAGATAGGATGAATTAATCTTACTGTCCTCATAGGAATTCAAGGAAAATAAAAATCCAGTTTTGATTTCTTATTGCAAATACATTTTTATTAGGAATGCCAGACATTGTCAAACACACTGATGGCATAAAGCCATGACTTTAAGCATCACGAGAAATTAAGCAAAATCATAACGTTCGTTATTACTGTTTTGATTTCTTTAAAATCTGTGTCTGCTCATGCGGTCTTATCCCAACAAATAATGCAGATTTGTATTCGAACGTTGAAGTATATGATAGATTGTTCTTCTGTTTCCCTCCTTCAGAATTCATCAGATGCAATTGCAGACCAAGTTATTGTAGACACAAAAGTAACGACTGAGAAGCAAGCACCATCTGGTGGAGCCGTGGAGCTAAATGGCAAGTTGCAAGAGTCGGTTGAGACCAAATCAGTCGGTAAGGAAATCACCCCAGAAACCAAAGGCACGTTTTGCAAAGTACAGTTTTATATATATATATACCGTACTACTAGAATCTAGTGCACACCTCAATTTTTGATACCTGGAAGCTGAAAAATGTTTTTTTGTTTGTGAAGAGACTACTATAAAACATTGTGCTACTATGAAAATGTTTATTGCCATATACCATAGTAACATTGATGGTATTTCAATTTTAATGTTAGATGTTTAGTCTATTCTTTCTTAAGCCCTCTTTTGGGAATGAAATTTGTCTGTGTGAATTCGCCGGAATGGAATTCATCTGTTTGAGTTCGCTAGTTTTAATTCGCCTGCGAGAATTTGCCAGAATACAATTTGCCGAGACTTTCGAATTTTGCCCCAAATGTAATGCGCCATTCTAATTGTCTAATAAGTATTCTAAATTTTGGAAACTTTATTTTACAAAAAAAGGTGCACATTAGATTTGAGGAAATACAGTGTATTGTATTGGAATTACATAGCACTAAAACCAATGATGAGGAAGGGGCATCTTTATTACTTAATTTAAATATACAAGTCCATCCATGAAGCATATCACTGAACATTGATCGGTATAGACCCATAATTTACCATGCCAGAAATATTTTTGGTTGTTTTATAAATCAGATTGTTAGGACAATGACTGCTTCATTTCTCAAAATATCTGATGGTTGTTTGGTGTTGTGTAAAATAAAAAGAAAGTTTATTTATCTTTTTTAGTTGCTGCTTCCACCGAAAAATGCACTTCACAAACAAAGAACACAGTTCCTAAATTGCCAGTAAGTTAATAGTTATATTGCCAAGATAGCTTAATTCTGTTCAGTTCTATTTACTCAGGTCTGGTGATGCACTCAGCCTATCACTGCCCACTCGTTTCAAGTAACAGTATGTGCCATTACTCACAGTGGATGGCCTCGTAGCCTATCACTGGCTGCCAAGGCAAATCTTTCTGATCACTGCTACAGCTGGAGACAGGCTTATGCCTCCCAGAGGCAACTTCAGGGTTTTACTGATCAAACAAGGTTTAGCCATGTAAGGTAAGACAGGGCCCAATGACTCCAGCTCCCCAATGACTTATTTTGGATGAACTTGTGAACCTTTGGGGACAGTAATCGCCCTGGAATGGTCCTTTAATTTCACTCGCTTGTTTCACCATAAGGTACAAGCTCCAGTACACCATAAACTACAAGCATGGACAACAGCATAGCAACTGAACTAACTCCCGGAGTCCGTTAATAGATCAGATAAAATAATCATAGGCCACATTCTGATTACTGCTACATCCTGTTTACCTAGACATTGGAAGTCCCAAAATGTGCCATCTCTCAGAAGTTTTTAATTTGATTCTAGAAAACAAGGCACACGAATTATCGCATAGAGCTAATATGCATGGTTACCCAATATTAAAATATAATTGGGATAAATGGGAAGAAAAAATCAAAACAGTTTATGGTCTTTGATATGTTTATTGTTAAAGTGCATTGATGTACAAAATTTTTGCCATATACATTGTTATGCCTATTTCAATGATGGATGGATGCCCATTTCCAAGTTCCCCTTCCTTTCCTACCCCTAATACAATGTTTGTATTATTATTATTACTTGTTATACAAAATTTTTAAACTTTTTAATAAAAATTATTTGAAAAAAAATAATATATATATATATATATATATATATATATATATATATAAGGATATGTAGACACAAATAACGTGTCCATTTATCTGTGCAGGAGAAAAATATTTATAAATCTCAATGCATACTTCAGTATATAGAAAGAGAAGACAGGTCATTTGCTGCACACTTATTCTCTCCATTTTTTTCTTTTTGTTGGCAGATCAGTAATCCAAGTAAACCAACCGCTATGGTGAAAAACGGGCAGAAACTATGGTGTGATGTTGGGATCTTCCAAACAAATAGTGCTGTAGTCACTCACTTCTTTTTGCTGTCAGATGGCAAACAGGGTACTTCAAGCAAGGTATCATTCCATGACATAATGATTCTTTTCATTAACAGCATACTCACCTGTGGGTTATTTGATTATATAATATTTAACTTATTCTGTTTAGATGATCACCTATAAGAAAAAACTGGCAATGAAAGAATATTTTTAGCATGTAAATACAAGACTAATCTTTAACTGCAGGTGTCTCCTTCATTTGTTTTGTAAATCAATCATTTATTTTAAAATGGCTAGTGTCTGAAAGAATGCACATACAATTTGTATAAAAATGCTTTTTTTTTTTTTGTAGAATTCATTGTATACATATGTGTGTGTGTGTGTGTGTGTGTATATATATATATATATACACACACACACATATTATCATTATTTTTTTTTATTATTATTATTTTTTTTATTTCTCGTCATTGTCTAGATTGGTGACCCAGATATAACTGACTGCACACTATTAAAAAAACACGAATTACTGCCGGGAAGCAGTTATCGATTCAGAGTGGCAGCAATCAATGGCCTTGGAATAGGACCTTTCAGTAAAATCGGTGAATTTAAGACTTGCATACCTGGCTTTCCTGGAGCTCCTTCCTCCGTCAAAATAACAAAGGTAAGATTATTATCATTCAGACAGACAATGAAAGAAATATAAAATACAAGGAGAAAGCAGTGAAAGAGATGTGAGTCTGGTGGCAAAAAAAATATGCATTTCACGTACCCTTGTCTAAATTCCGTTTCATTTTCATCTATTTAGATAAATTTTTAGGCTTTTAAAAATGTGCAAAGCTGCCATATTTCACGGGGGAGTTATAAGCTTGGTGCCCCAGATACTTGTGAACTAGAGTTCTGGATTACAAACATCTGGGCTGGCATCACCGCTATTTCCATAAATTGCTTTACTTAGCCCACACCTGGGGTTTCATGGTCTAAGACAGCAAATCAATGGGGACTACATTTGGAACGGTTTTGTGATCAATTTACTGCAACAAATTGCATGTGGATGCATGTTTAGGGCCATAATGTATGCAGAGAGTGCCGTTGGGGTTTATTTATTAAATTGCACATTTTAGGGCAAAACCATCAATCCACTGGATCTTTTTGGCTTCAGTTTTACATTTTACTTTTTATATAGTTACATTGTAATAAAGGCTGAAAAAGGACTGTACTCAGTTTGTCTCACTATTTCACACATCTGTTTTTCTTGTTGTTCAAAAAAGGGGCAAATAATCTTAGAATCCTAAAAAAATAATCCCGGCACACAAGTTAGAAGGTAAAGAACTGGATGATACAAGCCTCTTTTTTGGAAATTCAAACAGAGTTTCCAGAATCACCACATCTCGCATGTTTCTGAGGCATTTTCCATTTGCTCTCTTGACTCTTGAAAAGGCAATTCCAAATTATCAGGCTTCTAACATGCACGTTAACTGTTACATCCCTTACTATTCTTTTTAGGCTTACCGGTAGTTGTATCTTCTCAACCTCCTTTTTATTTACTATGCTCTGTATCTCTAATCCAAAGGGGTATTAATTTGTTAGTTCCTTACTTTGAAAATAACTTCATTAATTAATAGACATTATTATTATTATTTATAAAATTCTAACATCTTCCACAAAGCTATATTATTATTATTGCTGTTTATATAGCGCCAACAGATTCCGTAGCGCTTTACAATATTATGAGAGGGGGGATGTAACTATAAATAGGACAATTACAAGAAAACGTACAGGAAGAATAGGTTGAAGAGGACCCTGCTCAAACAAGCTTACAGTCTATACAATTGATCTATTCAAGCAGCTCAGATACCCTAAACTTACGCTGCTTCAATCTTTTCCTCTTTTCTTCATCACTCTTAATCTGGCAAAGTAGAGACCAATTTGTCATATATGTTTTTCATTCACTGGATAAAAGGCTGCGCTACCTCTGTCTGTTTTTTTCCACTTCCTCTAGCCATCACTAGCACGAGGGGGAAGGGGGGTGTCTGTGTCTATGTCTATCAATGGTGAAGAGCCTCGTATATGAAAACCAGAATGCCATGGACTTCCATTTAGGGATCGATGCTTTAACCTGAGCCCTTATTGCAGAGCTGGGGGAGTCCCAAATGAATGACGAACATACAGGTTCATAAACAACTGCCCACAATTTAATGCTTAGCAACATATTAATGTGTATTCATGTAGGGATGTAATGTAACTTTGTACCAATCAAAAGTTAACACATTTTTAAAGCACTACATTTTGGGGGCCATAAATCCATCCCATCATTCCCTAACTGGCATTACTTTATCTTTGTTAGAAGCTTGTGATTTCTGTTTTTTTCTGCATAGCCAAAAATTTGATTGCTGGGAAAAACGAAAGTATGAACAATGCGTTTGAAATGTTAGTAAATTCTAAAACACAGAAAGGGACAATCGCCTAAACATGGTTATATCAAAAGGTAAAATATATTAATCCCATTAGTGTGTAAAATGCAATTTTTATTTTTTTTATGTATGTCACAGACGGCAGATTGTATCCATATATCCTGGGAGACTCCTTCCTCGCCCACTGGGAATATTTTAGAATATTCTGCTTACTTAGCCATACGCACAGCACAGCTTCCAGAGGCCCTGAATCAGCTTGTCTTCATGAAGATTTACTGTGGTCTCCAAACTTCTTGTACTGTAACTGCCACGCAGCTAGCAAACGCTCATGTCGATTGCACCTCCAGGCCTGCTGTTGTGTTCCGGATTTCTGCAAAGAATGAAAAAGGCTACGGACCAGCTACACAAGTTAGATGGTTACAAGGTAGGTAATGTAGAATGACATTTTATTCTGAATGCTTGAGATCTAATAAAACTTATAGTATAAAGGAATCTACTATCCCTGAGAAAATAACATAAATAGTTCGCCAGCAAATGCCTGGATTCCAGCAAGTGACCGTTATTCTTTTGGACCTAGAATATGTGTCTCTAAGGACAACAGTCATAAGTTTTTGTTTTTTTTAATTATTGAAATGGAAAGATTACATGTATTGTTTTGTAATACACATAACTATTGTTGTACAGTTATTATTTGGGCAATCAATTCTTTCAAGATGTACTGCAAAAAAAGAAACCAAGGACAAATATAATCCCACACCTGGCCACAAAAGTTGAGTAATGAAAAAGAAAGTAATAAAATTATCAAATAATCCAAATAAATTGCCGAAGTTCTGTCAGTGTAGTTATTAGCAAGGACAAGAAGAGCACAAAGTATGAGGATGTGATTAAATAAGGAAGCAAAATGAAATGTGGGAAAAAGAAGGGACACGTGTCAAAGACACCCGTGCCACCAGCCCCGGCATGGTGTTGGTTTACTCCTGTGCCATCACCTTGATACACTGAGCTATTAAGAGTCACCAACAGGAGCCCTAGCATCTGAATAGTTTTGCTGCATAGGCCAGCCAGGGTCTCAAAGTGTCTACATACTTAGCTCAACAATCTAATAAAGCAGTAGTAAGCGCCTCCATGGCTCGAATTTTTTCAGACCACATTAGCTATTTCATACTTACATTAGCTATTGCATATGTATTCTTTCATAAAAAGGTTTCATGAAGGTACACCAGCTGTCCATTACCTGCATACTCCGGGGTCAGAAAATATGTGCTTCTGATTAGAGAGGACTTGAAGTTGGCTGGACCACGGAGCAAGGCTAAGCCAAGAGATTTAGAAATGTATGTGTGCATTGCAAATGTGTAAGCACAAAAGCTATAATGCATGCAATCTTTTATTTTACAAAAATAAAAACACGTTCCTTTAAGATGTTCTATTTCCTATTATCGTCATAAGGTCTACAAGTCTGACTACCGTCTCTCACAGGACTGCTCATACTGCATTACAGTCAGTGCTCCCATGCAGTCTTTTAAAGGTGTCCTGAAGCGATGGTGACCACATTATTTTGCAGAATAATGCCTTTTCCTATTTGTCTGAAGGAAACAAACTAGCTTTCCAAATCCAAAATTGTATAGAAATAATCCAAAACAATATATTTATTGCACATTTTGTAACCACTTTTAATTTTGTAGACCATTTCTGTGTTTCCATGTTTTGCGTTTGATTAATTTGGCAATGATATGGTTTACTTCAAACCTGTTCATGTCATGGGATCTAGACAATGTTGGTTTTTAAAAAAAAATTAGAATTTGTGTTCACAGTTGTTTGCAGGTTAACATTTTATTAACGTTTTGAAGAAATCTACAAATGCACACCTCCCAACATTTCAAGTGGACAAAGAGGGACACTTTATTTTTTAGGGGTGTGAGTGTGGCTGTTCTGTTAGGTGATTTACTAGTAACAATTTGTCCAACAAAAATGTAATTTAGAGAAATGTACTTTATGTGCATAGACTGATTTAACACATTTATTTTAGTTAAACACACCTAGTGTTTTATTGCTTTGGAGCTCTGTTAAACACACCAACAATATAACGTTATTAAATAGGATCATTGGCAGGTATGCAGAGGGGTGTTTTCCTTGTTTCATCATGTGACCCCAAACCATTGGCCTTTTATATTGAAACAAAGTTGTTGGATCTAGTCTGCTGCTTGACTTGCAGTCCTGGAGTCTGCAAAAAATGCATGTGCAATTCTTAATTTCTGTGATGGTTATTACACACCACAAACCTCTTGGCCTATTCTTATCAGGCCCATCACATTAATGGGCGAACCTGCTAATAGAATATAAATTGCCTCTTAGAACAATTATTAAACGCTATAGCACAATAATTGTAAAAAAAGTTTTCTTTTGGTGGGTGTTCTGTATTTTTTTTATACATAATTTTTAATGCTGTTAATTAAATTTTAGATTCATCCAAAAATAAAAAGGAAATGAAGAATACAGAAAAACAATATGTGCCAACATCACAAAGGTACTTCCTGACACTAATCAACAGGCTATTCACCCCTGTCTGTAGATCATACTCTGATGTTTCAGTCTCAATAGACGTTTAATACACATGACAAAATAAAGTACTCACTGTTTTTTTTTCATAATAATGACCTTTTGCTCTTAAAGCGGCTCTATCACAAGGCAACTTTTTTTTTTTTTTGCCACCACATTCCACCACGTTCCAGTAGTCCCACCACATTTTTTTGTTGTTTTGTTTGGTTATGAAATTTGCCCTTTTTGACCTTTTCCTTAATTCAAATCACTGCCATCTTGAGGATCCCAGCGGTGACATTTACTCTTGCCTTCATTTTCCCATATCTCCTTCTTGGACAAGAGATATCAAATGAATCGGGGATGAACGTAACGGCCAGGTGAATATTGAAGGAAGATGGGACCTAATAAGTGGAGGTGGCCTTCAGCTCCACCATTTGTCAAATTTAGAAAAAAAAATACACAACACAAGGTATCCCTACTACAGAAACTAAGGGAAAAAAAGTACTGATTAGGGAGAGAAGATGAAAGAATTAGAGAAAGGTGAGTTTGAGGTGTCAGAGCCGTGTTAACATGGTCACATTAAAGGCGTTGACGCTGGCGGCTATCTGTCTATCACATATTTTTTTTCCTTTTCCAGTGAACCGCTGTACTGTAGTTAGTATGGATTTTTACAGTCATTCTGACTCTCGCATCATATCAGTTATTTATCTGTTTTTGCTCCTGTCTTAATTATCCATTACACTTTAGTTGAAAACATAGCTTTTTTTTTTTTTTTTTTTATTTATTGGGGTTACCTTAACATTTGACACTGGGCTAACAAACCATAGGCCAAATTATTCCTCAGACACAACAATGTTTCACATTGCCAGAGACAAGGGACAGGTTCTGTGTACTTAAGGGCACAGTATAGGCATCATAACAACTTCATCTGAATCGTATCTTCAGGAGTTTTTGAGTGGTTTAACCCCGAAGTTGCCTCCAGCACCGGTTTCCCCGGTAGCATATGGCTTCTCAAATTTCACTTACAGGAAGCGTGGAGTGCCACCCGGCAAGGGCAACACCAATCAGTGACTCCCTATTCACAAAACGGTCTTGGAAAAGGTTTCTATCCAAGCCAGTTTATTGAATGGGAAGTCACTGATTGGCTGAGAGTGTCAGCTGGCTGCTCTCAGCTAATCAACGGTGCCCCTGTCTGGCGGCACTCTGTGCTTCCTGTAAGGGAAATATCAGAAACAGGGAGGAGCTGAGACCGGCACTGGAGGCAACTTCTGGGTTCAACCGTTCAAAACGCAAAGAAGGAGAGACATGCAGAATTTAAACATGGAGTACTACATTGATTTCTTGTATAAACAGATTTGATTTGAGGGGTCATTTAGATATAGTTTCTGTTTTTAAATTGTTTTATCCCAACTCTGTACTAATGGCACTAACAATATATATATATATATATCCAAGCATTGGAAAGATATAAAAGTGGGATGGGGTAGGAGGCCAGTAGAGGGTGCATCATTGACACATTTAGCATCACTAATAATGGGTAGATCAGTAGCGGAAGTGTGAATGCAAATCAGGCTGACTGGCTCTGTGGGTAAGGCAGTTTGCTCAGCACAAGCATTTCTGGTGATGTGCTCTCATTTTTAGAGGACATGTTCTTGGTCTTCAGAAACAGGACACATGACTCCAAAAGCAGGGTAGGACTCTGCAATGGGGACTATCCCTCCCAAGGAGGATCAACTAAAAAGTAAGATAAAAACAATATTGGTGTTTATGGTAATTAAAGCATTTAAGGTTTTTCAATACAACGTTGAACAAAAAAGAAAAATAATTAAAAGCATAAAAAAAGTTGAAACATTATTTGAATAAATATGTTGAATGTGCAGACTGGGTTTATTCACTAAACTGCACCTTTTTTTTTAAATTTTTACTAAAATTAGTCAATTCTTCACAATTTGCTGTTGAGCAAATTACCCAAGGATCCACTCTTTTCTTATTTTAGCAAACTGTATATTTATGTCTCTTTGATTATACTGTTACTAATGCCATCATCACAAGTTCTCCTCTTGGCATCCTATGTCTCTTTTTCGAATGCCAGGAGGACTGTTTTACCTAACTGTTTGGCTTCTGAGTCTACTGTTCATGTCCTAATGTTGATCCAGTCCTGTTTACGGATTTTAAGTACTGTCCCTTTACTGCTTTCATGTCTCTTTCACAGGAGTGTTTCATCGTAACAGAGTTTTCATAAAAATAATAAACTATCATCATGTTTTACAGCAGAGAAAACATGAAGTTCAAATTGGAGAGCCCATGACCAGAAGAGAAATCCCAGAATCAAACAGATGTTTGCCAAACTGCAAGGAATCCTTTCCCCACTCTGGAAATGGAGCTATATGTTTCACTTTTTTGTAATTTTTTTTTCTTTTTTTTTTAAATCTCAAAATGTTTATTTTTGCATTATGCTTGTTATAAGTCTTATTGAATTGATATACGTATATAAATGACTATATATCTTTTTTTTTTTTGTTAAAATATAATCATGCGTAATGTACTCAGGTGGGATTACATGGTGCAGTTTCTGTTTATAAGAAGCTGAATTTTTGCTTCCCTCTTTTTATTTATTTAAAAAAAAAAACACCACTTACCTGTACTATTGAGTATTTGGTTTTAAGCAATAATGTGGTGCAAAGGGAACGGAGGGATTTTAAAATAGTGCAATATTAAGACAAGTAGCACTTCCCAATATTAAGGGGTATCGTGCCAGTCTTTCATGATGAGATTATTGGGGTATAATGAAATAGAGTATCACCTAAACTATTTTCTTTGTATACTTTTATACAAGAAATAATCTATAAAGCAAAGCACTTTTAAAAGAGCCATTTTTTTTAGACATAGAAAAAAAAGAAACCCCTTAATGTAATATGCAGAGACGAGGAGTGTCCTTATACAAAGCTAGAAATCTCAAGCTGAACCAGTTGGGAAAATATATAGCTTGCAACATGCAAAGTTAGTTCCATTCATTGAGCCATATTGCTTTAGTTATGCTAGTATGTGTATAATCAGCATGCTTATTTATTATATTTTTTGATATCTTATTGGAAGGAACTTGTAACAGATAGGAAGGGTTCAAAGAAAATAGTTACTTGTACAAAATTATACATGTTTATTTTTTTATTGTGCAATTAGATTTTTTTGATTTTTTTTTTTTTAAAGACTGCTTTGTGGGCTATAATCCATGTGAGTGAATAAATGTTCATTGGGTATACGTGTCTTTTGGTAGAGAAGCCTACAGTGTGGATTGAAATGTCAGTGCTTGGATTGGTCAAGTTAATATTTATATTTAGTGCTTTGCTATATTTTTTGTAATAGGTATTTAAGGGGTACATTTCATTTGGTCTAGGCATCCCTGCTCCTTGACTTCCAAATATAGGTCGGATTTATTAACCAGAGTAGATCTGTGGAATTGAATAGTCTGTTATATAACAGTCAGGTTAGCTGATGATGCTATAACTTAAAGGGTCACTCTAAGTACCATAACAAATTCAGTTCTATCCAGATTGGACACCTGCTAGTGAAATACAAAATCCTGTCCAGAATTGAGTGGGAATTCCATGCTTTAGAATGATATATTTACAATGCAGGTTTTTCAAATTGCCTTAAAAAAACGTTGATCCATATACAGGATTAAACAAATATAATAGGACAACTAATGTGATTTACAGATTGCTGTAGAATTGCTCTTAAAGGACCACTCTAGGCACCCAGACCACTTCAGCTTAATGAGGTGGTCTGGGTGCCAGATCCAGCTAGGGTTAACCCATTTTTTTTTATAAACATAGCAGTTTCAGAGAAACTGCTATGTTTATGAATGGGTTAAGCCTTCCCCCAAAGCCTCTAGCGGCTGTCTCATTGACAGCCGCTAGAGGCGCTTGCGTGCTTATCACAGTGAGAGCACGCAAGCGTCCATAGGAAAGCATTGTTGAATGCGCGCACAGCTCTTGCCACGCATGCGCATTCAGCCGAAGGGGAGGAGTAGAGGCGGAGAGGAGGAGGAGAGCTCCCCGCCCAGCGCTGGAAAAAGGTAAGTGTTACCACTTTTCCCCTTTCCAGAGCTGGGCGGGAGGGGGTCCCTGAGGGTGGGGGCACCCTCAGGGCGGGGGCACCCTCAGGGCACTATAGTGCCAGGAAAACGAGTATGTTTTCTTGGCACTATAGTGGTCCTTTAATGCATTACCCATAGGAATCCAGAATCATCATGTATTTCACTTCCCAAACAAACTTTAAAGCCAATGTAAGTGAAATACAATATCAAACAAATCTTAAATGTAGGAATTTTGCTCACATCTTAGAAAATAATAATAAGTCAAGTAATACAAGTTCAAGCAATGCATTTTTAAAGAAATCTATTTTCTGGTATAACTCCCTGTATATTTCAGCGATGAGTTCCTTTTTAGCATAAGAAGTATAGTATAAAATCTGTTTTCATAAATCTTTAGACATGATGTAACCAATGTGCTTTACTTGAAATGATTGTCATATTTCGAATGAGTAGCTTACTTTTTAAAGACAGACCTGGGAAACGTCTAAGTTATTTTTGCAATATTTTTCACGGACAATGATATATATTTTGAAGTGCACTAATGGTAGTAGATACTCTTCATAGCAGGCAGTGTGTTGTAGCTGTATAGTGCTATTGATGGTATTGTAATAGCAATTATACTATTTTGTGATAAATAGGAGTGTTGCAGGGTTATACAGTAAAGTGAAAGGAAAATTAGTGGTGCTGAATGCCAGTCTTTAAATACCTTTTTGATATGAAATGAATCTACAAATGGCACATGCAGATCAGCCGTTGCTAGGTGGGTTTTGACAATTTGTTGACCTCTGTTTGTGGAAGTGTATGATACACTGAAGCCATCATGTATCATTTTTTGGGTTTTGGGAAACAATGACTATCACTTAATATATAAGGCAAGTGGACTTGAACTTCATATATAACCATAAAATGTTGTAATGCGGAGTCGTGACAGCTAGCTGTGCAACAGAGTATTAACTAAAGGCTGACTGAGTATCACAGCAAATGTAGGTAACATACAAGATTGTGCCAAGATCAGCCTTCACTAATTTGTGGTGTTCATGCCCATCCTTTGTACTTGTCGTGATGTATCTGCAGAAAGGAACAAGTGCCTAGGTACTTTTGCCATAGATTCAGTGTTGGCGTTATTTTTAATTATTGTAGTTTGCTACTTTGCAAAACTAAAAGCAGTTTGGTGTTGATGACGTTTTGTAGAGTTCATTGTTAAAGGAACAGTCCAAGCACCATAATAACCTCTATAACCCACTGTAGTGGCTACATCAACAGGCGTGTTCTGGCACCTTTCCAGAGTAATTTGTCAGGAGAAGCCAGATGTCTCCCCTGGGCAATGCATGGCTAACAGGGCCGCACTTATCAGAGCAGCCCCGCTTAGTTGAGTCGAGTTGGAAACCGCGCTATGCATGCCCAGGAGAACATAGCTATGTTGTCAGGCTGTTTTGACATATCACTCTTTAAGGAAGATAGCGTACTCTTTGCACCACAACCATTACAGCAAACTGTTATCGTCATGGAACTTGGAGTGTTCTTGTAGGATCAGGAGGCAAGTTATTACATAACAAGTGAATGTGCGGTTTGTGGATTTATAATATGACATGGTTACTTATTAAAGTGTAACATTTCTGGAGTTTAAAGTGAACTTTAAAGGTTAGGCCAAAATAACTGAATCAGAAACCCTTTCTAAGCTGTTTTCAGTGTGGTTATTTCGGTCTTAAATTCTAAATTAAGTCTGAATTCTTGAGCAGTCGTACTTTAGTGGATAACCCTGTTAGTGTAAAAAGGTTTGAAATTATTGATTCAACTTTTTCTTTTACTGACCAGATTTTTTTTTTACATATGACTTTCTGCAGTTATTGTAAATAATATTCTGAGTCTAAATGAAGCATGTGCTTAGGTTAATGTAATTGTTTAATAACCTTTTGTGTAAATTGAAATATAAGTAGGAAGACTGCCCTGTGCTCAAGCAATAGTATGTTATAATGTGGCCTCTTAATATTTTGCATTTGAATTTGTAATGGATACCTTAGCTGGAGTATATATTCTTGTGAGTGTTTGGTTACTATATAAATATATATATATAAAATACATATATTTTACAATGGCACAGAGTGCACTTAATTTTTTTAAATTAGGCATTTTTCTTTGTTACCGAAAGATTATTTTTATGCTGAGGAATTCTAAGCAACCTAAATCATGTGTATGCAGCAATGTTTTCTTTGTACAGTTTACATGCAGTCTAGAAGTATCCCAAGAAATGAATTATGGGAATAGGTGAAAGGGATTATGGATTGTAACTAACCAGCTAGATTTTCAAGAAATGTTTGAGCTGGGAAATCCCTTAGCACTTGGTGTGTTAGTTTTACCAGATACCAGCAACTACCTGCTGTTGGTACAGACATACATAATCATTTGACGGAAACCCATTAACTGTAATATAGCCAATGGGTAAGAGTTTATCAATGTATCGAGACTTGGTATTGGTTTTCTTCTAAAGAAGTATGGGGATATGCAGACTGACCTGTTCTTGGCAGAGTTGATATCAAATTCTATTCCTTTTATGCTAAGGATTGTAGGCATTTTGGTACTGAACTGTAATTTGTTTCTAGGCTTGTGTAATGCTGCCTTATGGTTAGGAGCTCCAGTATGGAGATAAATGATTGGATGTGCAATGGTTTGCCTTCAAGCTAGTTTGCCATTAAAGGAATACTCCTAGCACCATAACCACTGCAGCTGTCCGTAGTGGTAATAGCGCCAAGATTGCCCTGGTAACTCCCAGAGTAACACGTCAAACCAAGAAGGGTTTGACAAAGTATCTGAGTCAACCATTGCTCACTCCACAAGATATTACTCTTGAGCTAAGCACAGCCTAATAAATCGCTCAATGGCTGAGAGCACTCTTCCAATGAGGGCAGCCCTGCATAGGTCAGTGGAGATAACTGGATTCCATCTGCAGGAGAAGTCAAGGACAGGCTGTGTGACTGCAGACACTCGGGTAATTTCCAAACTGTTATTAAATAGTTTGCCAAACTGTGGTGGGAGTTTGCCAGGGGACTTTTGGCACCTTAACAACTACAGCAGGCTGTAGTGGTTATTGTGCTTGGGGCGTTCCTTTAAAAAGAGTTACTGACCTAAAGCATGTGAGCACCTTACTCAACCCGTTTTAATATAGTATTGAATAATAATTGGAGGAGACGTTGCTTTTAATTAACAAAGATTGCAGTCGTGCATCATGTAATGAAAATAAAATTGCAATCTAAAACCCATATCCAATTATAGCAAAAAGAGTACGATATTTTTATTTTTGTAACAAAGACATATTGGAGGAGTTTGATAAAATGGTCAGTAATCAAAAAGTGATGTTAGTGGTTTCTATGGTGATTTTAGAACATTTCAAATTTATAAATCATCCATGTTTTAATAGTTATGGTGATAAAATCAGAGCATGGAATGGTGATAAAATCAGAGCATGGAATGGTGATAAAATCAGAGCATGGAATGGTGAAAAATCTGTTTCCTTTTTTTGTGTAGTTTAGTATAGAAACGTACAATTCTTTAACTATACACTAAAACTATATTTTTGATTGTTAAAAGACGCAAAGTAAATTCTGTCTTCGTAATGCTTAAGAAAATGTAAAAGTAATCTTAAAAAATAATCCAATGTTTCATTTAGTGTCAGGAAAAAATGGAAAGAATACAAATTGGCTTATTACCCGAAAGTTTGAACGGAGGAGCATTGCTGTATTAGTGTGCAAGATTAAAATAACGTGATTTATTTTATTTTTTTCTATTTAACCTTTTAGGTTGTCAGATAATTGAGTAGTATTTGCTTAAAACATCATTGTGATTTGGAAATTATATATTGTCTCCAGAAAAACTTTCCATTTAAATGTGAGTTTAGCCACAGAAGATGTACCTGGATTCCAATCATAAACATTCAGTGGGTATGTTTTTTAAACTAAGTACTTGACATTCATTTGTAAGAAAATTGCACATTTTGAGAGCAAAAAAAAGTAAAATTGGAAAAAATCTCCCAACTCTGTTTAGTATTTTTAAAATATTTAGTTCCTTTTTTCAAGTCTTTTAAAGCGCACATTTAAACAATGCTTTTTGAATATATTCACTTATGCCTAATTTTATTACTGGTTCTTTCTCACAGCTGTAGTATTGTGAGTGAATGCATGCATTTAAATGGACCTTATAATCTAAACAGTATTTATAATTTTATTGTAATGAATTATAAAAAAAAATCAATGGACTCTGATTTCCTTCCATTTAAAACCATGTGACACTGTATGCAAATAAACTATAGTGTATAATTGTTCATTGTCTTGTGTATATTTGATCAAAATGCTGCAAGTACAATCTGTACCATCTCATGCTCAAAATTTCCATTTGCCTGCTGATCTTTTGCAAGTGAAAAATCCAACCTTTTTAAATATATCGCTGTTAACAAATAAATGTTAATTTAAAATTCAGGTTGCTCCCCAGTTAGCCTTCAGCCTTAGTCTGTCCTCTTCCAATTACCTGACACAGCAGCATTTGTAGTCCAATAGCAGCATTAAATCAAGGTGCAGTTTTCAGGGGAGGAGGACAACATTCCAAGATCAGAAGGTGAGAGGACAGCTGATAAGAGTGTGCACAAGCCTCAACAGTGCAGTACAGAAGGTAAAATTGTATACTTGCCCTGAAAGCATGCCCCTTTACAGACATTTATGAATGTAAAGGGGCATATGATTGTGGATCACTAGGGAGCATGGAAATGTAAGATTATATTCTACCTTGCTCCTGGCCACCATTTCTTTTTATCTTCAGCACCTAGCGGCTTTACCTGTTACCATTCACTTGCCCTCATGTGAGAGTACAAAATGGTCTATAGACGATTCTCTGAGACATCTGAATCTTCTGCAGATTATTTCGCTTTTGAAGTGGTGGATTCTGCTGAAACACTCTTGACAACATCTGCTTTAAAGTATAGTGTGACACTGATTCCCAGCCAATGGTAATTGTGATAGACCGCCTGGCACCCCGACCGGGTACTTCTGTCAATCGCTGCTTCCTAGTACTTGCGAACACCAGAAGCACTGTACTGGAACACCATAACCACCGTAGACCCCACGAACCGCCGCAGCTTGGTTGGGGGTCTCGCCGTCCTCTACCCACCCTGGACCCAAGACCAGGATCCAGCTTCCAGTGGGTAGACCTCCTAGTCCAGAGAGCGTAGCAGGAACAGCTCTTATAAGAGCTAGTGATTATACTCAGGAGAGTATTGTGATATAGCAATCCCCAGAGTGAATGTAGTTCTCCAATCCCCCAAACATGAGCCAAGACTTCATGAATCTCAATTTAATGGGCGCCACACTTGGCCTTTTATGACAATCCCCATGCAAGGGGTACGCCCACATGGACCTTGTTGGTACTCCAGCACAAAGACACAGACCAACAAGAACAGTGATTAAATGCCGACACTCCTTTAACAAACATACAATTCCTCCTCCCTGTTTGGGAGATAATTGGATCAGTAACTGTACTAATTCTAATCCAATTATCTCCAAGCACAGAAAAAACATACTTTTTTTTCTTTTTAAAACACCGCAAATGTACCCTAAAAATACATAAAACCCCACAAATGTTACATCCCCTGCTAGCCCTGATCTGGGTGACAAACATATCCAAAAATCACCGAGATCAGTTCAGGAATTTCCTGGAAGTCATTTATTTGACCGACCGCAGGCATGGTCCCATAGCCGAAAATAGTTCCATAGAATCGCGGCTAAGTGCCACTGGAGAACCGACCGGGAACCGCGAAGTTTTCATGCCGAAAATAGTTCCAGGGCATTTGCGGCTAAGTCCCCCTGAAGCCTATTTGCGGTTTTGGTCCATGCGAACAAGATGGCTGCCACCTCGTGGTCAGCCATAGGAATTGCGGCCACCCAGACGAACACTTAGACCACTGCAGTGGAAATTGCAATGTATGTATCCAAGTATCCAACGTATACAAGTCTATTGCAGGGGCCATAGTCACAGGGTAGGAGGCTGGCAAACAAGCCCCTCCAAAAACTTGTGGCAAACTCACAGGGAAAAGGGAGTTTGTCACAGTAATGGCATTTGCTTATTTTAAACAAGTAATTATTTTATCATCAATATTTAATATTAAAGTCCTATACTATGGGATTTATTCACTAAACACTGAATAGCAAAATTTAGGCCAAAATATCAATTGTGAAGAATCCAACTATTATAACTGTAGTCACAGCTTGTGTATTTCTGTCCATCGGATTTACATCTTATGGAGTATAAAGAATCCCATTGAATACGCTGATCAACAACGTGAAAACCACTGACAGGTGAAGTGAATAACATTGATTATCTTGTTACAATGGCACCTGTCAAGTGGTGGGATACATTAGGCAGCAAGTGAACAGTCAGTTATTTAATTCCATGTGTTGGTAGAAGGAAAGAATGGGCAAGGGAAAAGATCTGAGTGACTTTAAATGGCTAAAATAGTAATGGCTAGACTACTGGGTCACAGCATCTGCAAAACGACAAATCTTGTGGGATGTTTCCGCTGTGCTCTAGATAGTACTTCGCAAAAGTGCTGCAAAGAAGGACAACCGGTGTCCGGGTCAGAGGCACCCAAGGCTCATTGATGTACGTGGGGAGCAAAGGCTAGCCTGACCGATCTAATCACACAGACGACCTAATGCAGCTCAAACTGCTGAAAAAATGTTGGACATGATAGGTGTCAGAACACACAGTGCCTCAATTTGCTGCGTAGCCACAGACTGGTAATAAAGCCCATGATGACCCCTGTCTGCTGTTAAAAGCACCATCAATGGGGACGAGAGCATCAGAACTGATCAATAGACCAATGGAAGATGGTTGCCTAGTCTGATGAATCATATTTTCTTTTAGATCAGGTGGCCAGTGCGTCTTTTACCTTGGGAAGAGATGGGCAGGATGCACTACGGTAAGCTAAGTCGAAAAAGGTTAAGGACCAGGCAACTGGTTTGGCCCTGTTACATAGAGGGTATTGTACTAAGTAGATGTAAGAGAGTATAGTTTAAGCAATAGTACTAAATTAGCACACTGTTGATGTTTATAAAAAAAAAAAAGTATATTGAAACGAGGAAAGTGAATTCATACTTGCCAGTATTTTCTTTTCGCCTTAATGGACCATAGCAGGACTACTATGTCCATTGTACAGAAAATAATTAAGCTTGATATTAGACATGTGCAATTCATTTCGGTCCGAATTTAAATTCAGACGAATTTCGGCAATTCAGACATTCGGATGCTTCCGAATGTCCGAAGTGCCGAACCGAACTGAATTGCTGAAGTGCTTTAGATTTCTGAAAAGATGCAAAACAGGAGAGGGAGGGAAAATTAAGGGAATGATGACAGGAATCTAACCCTAACACTACCCTTAACCCCAGCCCTAGTAGGGTTAGGTTTAGGGGTTGGGGTTAGGGGTAGAGAATTGCAGAAGTCCTGAATTCCGGAAGTGCCAAACCGAATTTTACCCATGCACATCCCTACTAGGTATAAATACTTCTCCCAAATGTCCAAGATCCCTTGTTCATAGCTAGCCTCACAACTAGGATGGAAATGCAGTGGTAGGTCCTCTATTGTCAAGGATATAACTGACTTTTAACCCAATTCAATACCCATCCATTATGCCTCACAATACATAGGTCTCTTTCTTAAAGATTGATCAGAATGTTTGTTTTTCTCTGGCTAAGAACAAGATATGATCCAGGTAATGAAATAAGTTGATCTCTTCCAGTCTTATCTCCACGCTAAGGGTAACCAATATCTTGTGAATACCCTTGGGCTGCACTTAGGCCAAAAGGAGGTGCTCGGAACTGAAGATGCTGATTGTTAGGCAAAATCTTAGATATTTCGGATGTTGCTTTGCTATTGCAACATGTAAATACACATCTTTCAAATATATCAATCGCCCAGAGAAACCAACTTGTTTTTCTGGCACTCAAAGTATTCAGCTTGTGAATGTCCAGAATAGGTCTCCAATTGTCTGGGCCTTAGAGCCAAAAATAAATGCGAATAAAAACCTTGATCATACTCCTGGACAGGAACTGATACAATTATGTCTTGATTCCAGAAGTGACATTCTTTTCTTTGCATCCTATGGAAAGCCTAATCTTAAGAGTATGTCTAGAGGAAGTGTTTCTTCAAACTCCATGAAGTATCCTTTTTTTGATTAGGTGTCTGACCCAATTGTCTGATCAACTGGCTCCAAATCTCCTTGAATGGGGCAGACAAGCCCCTACCTTATGAGATCTGTTTTGCCACCTGTCAAGTTTTTTTCCATTGTCTGAAAACACTTTTTTTCCTCTCTCCTGATAGTAGACGACTTTGCTTCAAGGGCTAGAAATGGAAAAAACTGCTTCCTTGGTTGATATTGCCTGGAGTTTCAAAACAATCTTCTTTGTGAATTGACCCTTGTTCCTTGGAAGAAGAGCCTTTCTGTCTTCAGTGGCTTTGATACACTCACCAAGGAACTTTACTTTCCCAACCTCCTCTTGCCTCCATTTCCCTGGTAAGTAGATAAGCCAAACATATGCTGCAAAAAATATTAGAAGGGAGGGAATATTATATATATATATATATATATATACATATACACACACACACACACACACACACACACACACACAGCCTTTAATCCTAGGGAAAAAAATGTAAATAAAATAAAGTTTTTATTTACTGCGGATAGACGCAGTAAAGCAGGATATACCAAAGAAAAATAAATGGGTGGGTGGAGACTTGTTACATCTTACATCCTAAAATTGAGTCTTCATAGGCAAACATGTCCAGTAATGCTTATAGGATGTGGAAGGCTGAGTGAAAGTGTGGATCAAGGACCATTTTGCTGCTCTACAGATCTGTTCTGGAGAGGCCATAGCTCTTGATGCCCAGGAAGTCGAAAATTGATTAAGTGCAGTGAGCTCTGATCAGAGAAATGGCTTATTTGATACATCTGGTTAATGTAGCCTTAGAAGCCAGTTTGCCCTCAGATAGGGCTTGATTTTTCTGAATTCTCTAGTCCCTTTTTAAGCAACATGACATTGCTCATTTCACATCCAGAGAATGCAATTTCCTTTCTTTATCGTTCTTAGAATCTAGCCAAAAGGAGGACAAAATTATTTCCTGGTTCAAATTAACTGGGATGTAAGTTCAGTGAAATTCTATCTTTATGAAATAATTTTTTGGAAGGAGGGGTGACAGTGTCACTTTAAACTGCACATTGCCAAAAGTGAGAGTGGAAAAGTTTTGCATTTTTATGTAAAATTGTTTAATAAATGAGAATTTACATTTGCAAATATCATTTCAAAGTCCCTTTTGTCCAGATTCCCCTCCCCGCTTCCCTCAGAACCTCTTTTAAATTGGAGAATCCAGAACTTCCCTTTTAATATGTTCAAAGCTCTTTATACAGCTACTCGCAAAAAGTCGATTGAGGGAGTTCCAAACTATAAAAAATAAATCCTGTTGTCCCCAACCACCTCTCCCCCCCTCCCAAAAAAATAAAAAACCACCTCTGTATGTGTTGGTGCAATAAAACCAAAACAATCACATTTAAAAAAAAAATAAAAATAAAAAAGTGCTAATTGCTTGTGACCTTAGTGGGGATATAAGTAGTTTGTGTAAAATTTGAACGAATTGCAAATTTTAGGCCTAAATACAGCTGGAAATGTTGCCAGGTTGGAGATTTCCCAGTTTTTGATTTGGTCCTCCAATTAGCAGTTTGTAAATAACCCTACTGGATTAAGCACCACACTTCTGGCTACACCATGTGACCAATTTTCTTTCTGCAAAGCACATTGATAGAACCAAGAAAGTCAGAATAAGTCATGCGCAAACACAAAGTATTGGACATTTTTTTTTATTAAAAAGGGTAAACCAACAAATTAAGCCATTTGATTTACAAAAGAAGTTACATGATTCAATATGAAAATAATAAACTGTCTACAAACCCCAGACAGTAATAAACCATTAATTTACAATGCATACAGGAGTCAGAAGAAGAACTCTTGTACAAAAATGATCGTAACAAAGGTCTTTAAAACCATTTAATAAAAACACATGGGAGGGAAAAAAATAAAAAAAAAATTATATCAATGTGGGAATTTAACCCCTGTGACATGCCCGAGGAAGCTACATTACAGCAACTTAATATACACAAAACATGTATTAAATAAAAAAAATAAAAAAAAAGCATTGCAATAAAATATTGCATTCAAATATGTATAGCTTTCTTCCTGACTCATGTTTGCAGATATTACATTCTCTTCCAAATCAGGAGAACTGGATTTGTTGAACACCAGATATCTGTGAATACAGAACATACATATAAATATTTAGTGGTATTGTTACATTTCACCATTTAAACAAACTACTTGGTTGCGATAAGAGAACGATCATTGGATTAGTCGCTACTCCATGTAAATGAAATCTGCCCTCCAAGACTTGTTTTACTAAAGCTTATATCTACTTTAAAAAAAAAAAAAAAAAAATAGTTTACATGAAAAGTACATCCTTCTACCCTGAGCCAGTAGCTGCACAGCCTGCTTAGCTCCAAACAGTGTGGCAAGCATGGAAATGGGAAATCCTACTAGTCGTTAGGAGGCTTGTCAACTGCACATATTGACACTTCTTTTTAAATTATAGTTTTGAAAACCAATCACAGTACATCACTGGGGAAATCCTAGCTAATTATGTCCCTAATTACAAAGTCGCATTTTACAGGAATAGCTCTCCATCAATGGCGACATCTTAGCCAAGACCTGCAGAAGTAATACTGTCTGCTGATCCTTCGTTGCCTTTCAAGTCATCAAGGAACGTATAAATGTTTCCATTTCTGGTTTAAAACACTTAGGCTGGAGAGTCATGATGAATGTTCTTTGTATTTATTACTGCATGCTACGTGTGAGATTTCATATCAGCCAGACAATTTCTAAAATTTTGTGTATATAGAACACTATCTACCCTTTCACCCGCAATTAGATTATACATTCTTATTGAAGGGAGAAAAAAAAAATGCTCCACAGCTTTGCTCTTTGACACATACCTGTTGATATGATGTTGTATAGACCATAACATTTTGCTGCTGCCCGTCTGCAGTTATTAAGCCAGCTGGTAATTGGCTTGCTTTAAGACAAAAAAAAATAAAAAAATGAAATTAAAAATTGCTTAAGACAAAACAAGGATAAGAAGATGATTTCATGTAACTTTAGTGTGCGTTTGATGCAGATAGTTCAATTCAAAATTGGGGCTGAAAGAAATCCTTATATTAAATACTGGCAAAATCAAAGGGTATCTACATGGATACATTTACTCTGATTTATTGCCAAATGGGGTTTCACATTTTAATTCTGGCACTTATTGAAACACATTTAAAGATTTGCATTAATTTTGTTGCAACCCCGAAGTTAACGTGCTTGTGGTACACTTTAATTTTGTTTGAGGCACACTGGTTGAAAAGCACTAAATCCATGTTGGTACAGCTAGCATGTTTTCCAAGTAGATGTATACTTACTGAACGCTTCCTCTGTGAGCTCCTCTCCAAGGCCATCTGTTCCTGTAACTGTACCACCGATCCCTTTTTCACCTTTCATTGCCTTCAACAGAAAAATGTTCATTCAATCTCCAGTAATTAATTCCATATGAACTAAAACTGCATTAAATCAGCTAGTGCATAGTTGGAAGAAAAACACTTAAAGGGACACTATATAGTCACCAGAACAACTACAGCTTATTGTATTTGTTCTTGTGAGTATATAGTCAGTCCCTGCAGGTATTTCCATGTAAACACTTCCTTTTTAGAGAAAAGGCACATTACCCACCTCTCTGAATTTCTGTAGATATAGTTTTAATGGCTCCACATAGCTATCAAATCCTAAAGTGGACATAGCGAATAAGATGTCTTCTCCATTGATTGTCTTTCGCTTTTCCTGATGACATCTCTCGCTAGCTTCGGAGGTTATAAAGCTTATAAATTCACTCACACATTCCTGTACACATTCCTTGGCATCCTTTGCGATCTGTAAGACAATGAGTATGCAAGAAAAGAAAATTACAAAAAAATTATTCATTCGACAGCCTCATGGTGATTTCAAACTACACTACAAAATCTTGTTTCTATATTTGTGCATTTCACATAACATTTAGGACGAATAGAGGAGATCATCTCTAAGAACTGGTGTGTTCTTGCATGATTTGTTTTTTTCGTTCAGCGGTACATTTGAGACTATGGATTAAATACAAACACTTCAATCAAAAATTATTTTTCAGTTCCTACTAGTTGCTAGTAGAACTGCCTAAACTTATATCATTTCAGTTTGCACAACATCAAAGCTGACCTAAAGTCTGAGATTGTCTTTACAATCCTGGAATAGTGACACCTAACTGCTTAAACATGAAGAAAGGGTTTGAATGGTTCTCAGGTCACACTGCACAAGAAAGGGCAGCAGTCACTGCTCTGTATAACCAAAAATAAGTCAGTCCTTACTTTTCCTGTCTGTGGGATTGCGTTTTTCATTATCCTCGCCACATTGGCAATTGGAAGATAAATATCTTGTTCTCTGAAGCTCTCTTTAGATCCATTTGTGTCATCTGGATCATTTAAACTGTCTTCTGTGTCCCCTAAAACAATAGTACAAGAGTTATATGCACAATAAAGTCTAGACATTACAAGATCTGTAGACTGGGTGTTCTTGCGGTTTAAAACCATAACATTAGATATTCAAGAAAGTTATAGACAAAGCACAATCATTTTACGCCTATGTAGACATTCAACATTATCAACTTAAGTGAAGAATCGACAAGCGCTGTATATTTTAGGCTTTGCTTTTTTCAATTCCCTTCTCAATTCTTTACCATTCAGTTTAGGGAATAACACAAACACCATTTCTAAGTTTAACATAGTGAACCTGCAGAGTGTTACAAGTGAAATCATAGTATAGTCCTTGTAAGCAATACCCCTCTGAATATGCCAGGCATTTATGAGCTTAGCTTTGTAACACAGCCAGTCTAAAAATAATCAGTAACACATCTACATAGCACTGCATACCTCATCGGGACAGTGTACTTACCATCGTGAGGTTGTATTACATAATGGCCTCCAGTAATGTAGTCTCCTGCAATGCCTAACTGAGAAGTATCTGTTGTGGAATTATCCCCGTCCATCTATAAAGACAAAGAGGCAACATGTGGAGATGTAAGGCATTTATTCTGCATACAAATAGTATAGCATTTAACATTTAATTAGTTGCACCAAGAGTGGGGGCCACTAAACTAAACGAGGGACCTAGTGCCCTCCCTCTGTCACCACCCATGAGCGGAAGGTGGGGGGGGACCTACTGTAAAAAAAAAAAAAAAATTTAAATACAATCCCAATGCTAAAAAAAAAATAAAATCCATCTTCACTCAGCAAGGGCACGGAAAGGCTTATAAAGCCTTCCCATGCCCTGCAATTTGACAGAGCGCTCTGGTTGGTTTTGTTTTAGCATCGGGACACACACACACACACTCACTGACAGTCAAACACTCACCTCCCTGGCGTCCAGTGTGGGGCAGCTCCTAACTTCTCCCACCGTTTAGTATGCCAGGGCCGGAATTAAAGTCATATTCTGGCATCACAGAGGGGGGAGTGAGAGGCATCAAAAACAGCCTCCCTCACTGCCTGGCTTTTCTGTCTCCCTCTCCTCGGTCACTGGCATTTGTTGGCAGAGCAGGCACCTGCCATCAAGGTAAGCAGGTGCCTGCTCTGCCTTACCTAGCACAGCTTCATGGGCACCCCCTGTGACAGGGCTCCTCTCGAAGCCTCCACCTTCGGGCACAGTGAGGATCGGCCCGGCGCTGTGGGCAGCTCAAGAGCCGCTTGCCCAGCGCTACGGTCCCAAACCGGGGCAGCAGGCCCTCCTCGAATGCCTAGTTCGCCTAATGGTTGCGCCAGCCCTGAATAATAAAAGTAATATTTACTTAGTATTAGTAAATTTGGCTGAAAGACCAATTCAGGTCCTTCAGCCTTTTAGTAGATAATCCCCAATACCGTGGGAATTAGGGAGCTATCTACTCGCAGCACAAGGACATTCCGATCCAAACGAAAGTCCAGAATTTCATCATAACATGAATTAACAAACTGTTCTCATTCTGTATGGATGAAATCCGGTAGTTTTGCTGGCGTTTCAAACACCAAATGAAGCAGCAGGAGGAAGATGAGCATTGTGTAAAAAAATTTTGACCACGGGAAATGGAGCAGACTTTTCTCCTCCCCGGGTCATAGCTGGTCAAGCGTAGGAAAAAGACATAAGACAAAATAGTCCCTACTTTGTCTTATGTTTTAAAGAAAACTAGAGCAGACAGGAAGAAATGAAGAACAGATCCGGTTAGGAGTCCATTATAACAGGAATTGTCCATTGTCTGGAAATTATACTATTGAATAAAGCTGTGAAAAACCACCTATAACACAGTAAACTTACAAAGGGCCTCCTACTCCAGATTTACGGATTATACCTTAAATTACCATTTCTAAATTATGTAGATGTACAAGAATGTTAAAGAATAGAAACTTTTTTTATTTTTTTTATTTTAAATCTACACCATAGCAGTTAGTTCTACAAAAGAACACTTAAAATACAATTCAAATTGCAGGTGCGTTACAGCTTTAGTTATGAAATACATACAACTGGAGCGTGTAGTCACCTTTGCATACAGCTGCTACAGTTCACATTACTACCACATACGTGCAGCCAGAACAGGTCTGCCTTTCAGGAAGGAAATACACAAACTATAAAATGTATTATATGCAATAGCAACAAACAGATTAAAGGCTAGGGTTGTTTACTAGTGTATAACACCACTTCCAGGTGCCATCATTTGCATTCATGTAACATTTCTCCCAGGCAGTTAACTTTTTTTCATCCTTTTTCATTTTTGTATTCTCTGTATACCAAGTAGAAGCTAATGGAAATATAGTTAACTACAAGGTAAACTGCAATTGTGAACAGGGCAATTAACTTGGGGAAATTGTAAAGGGAAAATGTAGGCGTTACTGCAGCAGGTGTGTATCACTGGATTACTACTGAATACATAAGCTTGTGAGCAAGAGATGTGGGCAATCCATTTCAAAATAGCTGGTCTCTTATTCAATAAGTCATACTAGAACTGCAAACAGGTAAGCAGAAAACTAGCACAGTTCTTCCACTTTATGTGCATCTAAGAGAGCAATTCTTTATCCCCCCACAAAGAGCCAACACATGGAATATTTCTTCAATAGACTGTTTGCAGTGTCAGAGTTGTACCCCATTGAACACAAGGCAATGCTGAGGGCTGCCGCCTGACACCAGATTAAATGATATATCAATTCAAATAATTAGGAACACGCTGAAATAGAATGGGGACACCACATCTGCCAACTATCTAGCAGGTCTGATCTCAGGAAAGGGAGGAAATGTGCGGTGGTATGGTGGTAGGCCAAAACGTGTTAAATCCCAGCACCCATGCTTGAGTCATGGGATTGATTCAGTAACCATAAAACCATCACTGCTTCTGTGTGAAGAGGGAAATTTGGGTAGTATGTATTATAAATATAGCTCAAACGATCAGAACCCTGTTACCAAGGTTTTAGAACACTAAATAGATATAGAAGCAGTAAATACTAGGGAGGACATCACAGATGGCTAATCCTTGGCATGCCAACTCTTCTAGACAATTTTGAAGCTTACTGTTGCTCACTCTATTGCAGTGCTATATTTTGCTTTTATTCAGAACTAGAAGAGAATCCTCTCCCCATTTACAATGAATGGTCAGAAAGTGCATTTTGGCAGTACACCTGAAAAATTTCTAACCTTCGCTTCCTCAAGCCCCAATTCATACACATTTTCAAGTGCACATGGTTCCCATGGTGTTTTATTAGTGGAGTATTACATTTAATTACAGCACAGGTGAACAAATGTCACACTATCTTGGGGGACGCTATCCTTTTAGAACTATGGAAATCTATAGCCTCATGCACTGGAGTAGAGGTGAAAGAAACGTCTCCAAAAACGAAACATCTCCTGCAGCTTTGGGATTTAAACTCCCATGATATTTTCCTTTGCTAGCATTAGAGGGACAATGTAGGCACCAAAAAAACTTTAGCCTAATTAAAGGAACACCACAGTGTCAGGAACACAAGCATGGGGAAAGGCAGAGTTTAAATTACTGCCTAGTAACAAGTCTAGTTGCAGTCACTCAGATGGTCACTAGCAATGCTTCACGTATCCTGTCACTACGTGGAGACGCTGAACGTTCCCCATAGATGTGATTCAGCATCTCCTCCTAGAAATGCATTGATCGGCTCAGCACAGCGTTTTGCTGCGCAATAACCTCCTAATGCTCCATGGGACAGCATTAGATTGGCTAAGTTCAACAACTTTGATCTTGGACATGGAGGCAGAGCAAGCAACTGTGCTCCGTGGGAGAAAAAGTGACTAAACACCTTTTTACTGCTCTCACAGGGGGGGCCGGGGATAAAATAGTGGGTTTAACACTAAAGTGTCAGAAAAACAGGTTTGTATTCTTGGCAATACAGTGTTCCTGTAAGCAACATTTGTTTTGATACCTATAGTATAGAGAATCAAGCTAATTGCACTTATACAACACTTGGGGGTCAACATTTTACCAAACCCTCTATTTGACACTCCAGGAACACACATTAAGTTCAATGTGGAAAGTTAGTGTAAAGGAAAAGGAGAGTCATTATTAACCTGTGTTAAAACTAGTATACCGACCAGGTTTGCCTGCTCCAAGTGTCATTTGTACTGTGCTCCACAATAGGATTGCACTTTACAAGTCAGTGTGTGTTCTTAGAACAAACAGTTTTACACAGTTATTACTCAAATACGTAGGTAATGTGGTTATCTAGATAGGCAGTATAAGGCCACATGTATTTCATCTCCCACGGTCATGAAACTATTTTGTGTTTGTTAGTTTAGGCCAGGTCCCTCCAGATGTTGCTGAACTACAACTCACATGATTCTCTGGCTATCTATTTCACTTCAAGAATCATGAGAGCTATAGCTCAGCAACATCTGGAGGGACAGAGTTTGGAGGACCTTGGTTTAGATACATGCCCTGTGCCCTATAGTAAAATTAGAACTAGGCTACAACGTCCAAAGAGAATATTGAAGTTGTACATCAAAACTTGCATATTGTCCGTGTGTGAACTGAACATCTGTAACTGGTAAGCTAAGGAAGATTGGTTGATTTAAAGATACTGTGCCAAACAGGAGCTCAGATAAATGTTAAAGAGAGACTAAAGTCACCCAGACCTTTACATATCAATGGCGTGGCATGGGTGCAGTGGCCCTGTCCTTTTAACCCTGCAATGTAAAATAATTCTTTTTTTTTTTTTTTTTAAAGTGTAATGTATATACTGCAGGGTTAAATCCACCTCTAGTGTCTGTGATACCGACTGCAACTAGTGGTGCTACTGATGCACTTTGAGAGTAAAACTAAGTCACGTGACGCAGAGTCCAATGGAAAGCATTGCGCGTCACGTCCAGAAATGCTCCTGTATTAGCAGTATTGCATTTGACCACGGAGGTGAAGAGGTGAGCAGCACAGGTTTGATCAGGACAAAATAAATAAATCACAATATCATTACTTATACGGCAGAAAGGGGAGGTAGGGGCATTTATAACTAGGGATAGGAAAACGAGAGCGTTCAGAATACTCATTTGTGTTCCTAACCCCTTAGTGTTCCTTAAAAACATTTTAATGTCCCATTATTTTATTTTCCCTACTGTTGGCCAATACACGCAATTGTAGTGTATAAAATGTTATAGTTACACAAGTCTATGCTCCAGTAGTTAATCACAAAAAAATAGATGCGTTCATTACCACTTAATATTGTGTGTATGTGTGCAATATATATGTTACACAAGTTTCAGTTACAGATTAAATCAGGGAACCCGTTTATTAGTAAGAGCACGTCATACAGAATATCTAACCATGTTTCAAAATGCAATATTGTTTTGCTACTAGAACCATTCCCTCGATACACAAAAGCTGCAGTTTAGACAGCAGATGGCAGGAAGAATGCAGCTCCAGGGCTAGGGGGATGGGTTTCAGGCCTGGGCAAGCTTTGCTACTGGAGATGCATGGTGTATGCTGCTAACATATACATATACAGGGCAGTGTGCGCGCAAAGAAAACCCACACAAAATATTGAGGCAAATTATCATTGTATCCCATGAGTAAGATGTGTGATTATTTACAGAGAGGCATCTCTCTCTACACTAACTACATTCCACATGATCCTCAGACAGCCTAAAGACTGGTTAATATTCTAAACAAAATCTTCTCTCTCCTCCCCCCCAAGAGTGAAAATTACCAGCAATCCCACATCCTATGTGTAATGTTACATCCAACAAAGTTCTGTATATACAAGCAGTACTCCTATCAAGCACTCTGTGTACAGATAGACATCCCACCAATCCAGCTCTAAAGACACCCCCAAACCAGCTAGACCTTGACAGACAGTTAACCCCAATCAAGCCTCCCCATCTCTCTATATAAAAAACCCCATTAGCATTCCCAAGCCAGCTCTTTGTGTATATACATAGAGCTATCTATAAAAATAGAGACTCTTCACCCCCATCCATATATCTACATACAGACAGACCCCCCTCCCCTCCATATCTCTACATACAGACAGACCCCTCTCCCCTCCATATCTCTACATACAGACAGACCCCCCT